ACCATGTCCTTGTTCTGACTTACATGCAAATTCAACTTCAAAACAAACCTGCAGAACCTCTCTTGTTCGTAACTTGGGGACTGCCTGTAAATTCCTGAAAATTATGCTGTGCATTAAACTGAGCCTATCTTACTTTGATTGCATTACGAGATGATACAATTCATTTGAAAGATGACAATAGGTAGCAGGACAAGAGGGAAATCATGTTATAGGTGAATAGACACGGGGTCTCTCATTCATAGGATCACCCTAAACTAAGCCATGATGACAGGACAGCTGTTTTCAGCAGCCATTGATCATCCACCTGGTTTCCTTGTGTCTCTGGATTCCCAGCCTATCTCTCCAAGATGCCTGTCTGACTGTCCTACGTAAACAAGCTGCCCCATCAGCACATGACTAATGTTTTACAGTAGATGTAGAGATTAGCTACTCTGTTATTTACCCTTCCCTACCTGGCACCCATTAGAATAAGAACAGCAGCGTTAGCATTAAAAGGTGTGAGTCAAAGCTGCCTCCGGAACCTGAAGGAACTGCTCCAAAGAGATGAGTCTGGCATGACTTGTTTTTGAGAAATCCCTTTTAGTGAGCACAGCATTTCTTTCTAAGTGATGACAGACTGCCTCCTTCATGATTTGGTCCAGAATCCTTCGTGGTCTTGATGTTGGACTGACTGGACACTTGTCATTGATGGGTCCTCTTTTTTCCTCTTCTTGAAGATGTGGACAATATTTGCCCTCCTCTGGTCTGTGAGATTATTGCCAATGGTTCTGAAATGGGTTTTGCTAGTTCCTTCAATACTCTTGGATATAGTTCATCTGGTTCTGGATACTTGAATTCATTTACAGTAGCCAAATATTCTTGGGAGGAGAGCAATGACTAATCTTGATAAAATAGTGAAGAGTAGAGACATCACACTGGCAACCAAGATCCGCATAGTTAAAGCAATGGTATTCCTCATAGTCACCTACGGATGTAAGAGCTGGACCATAGGGAAGGCTGAGCGAAGGAAGAGAGATGCTTTTGAACTATGGTGTTGGAAGGAAGTGCTGGGGGTGCCTTGAACTGCCAGAAGATCCAACCAGTCCATACTTCAAGAAATAAAGCCTGACTGCTCATTTGAGGGAAGAATAGTAGAGGCCAAGATGAAGTACTTTGGCCACATCATGAGAAGAAAGGAAAGCTTAGAGAAGACAATTAAGCTGGGGAAAATGGAAGGAAAAAGGAAGAGGGTCCGACCAAGGGCAAGATGGATGGATGGCATCCTTGAAGTGACTGGATTGACCTTGAAGGAGCTGGGGGTGGTGACGATCGACAGGGAGCTCTGGCGTGGACTGGTCCATGAAGTCACGAAGAGTCGGAAGCAACTGAACAAATGAACAACAACCACCGCCAGATATTCCTGGACTAGTTCTTTATTTATTTTGGGTTGCATTTCCCCCATTACCTCGTCTGCTCCGTATTGCTCAGGTTGAACCCCAGTCTTCTTTTGGGAGACGACTGAAGCAAAGAGGGTGTTGAGCAGCTCTGCCTTTTCCCTTTTCTTGGCTTTTCTTCTGGTCTTCAGCTTCTTCTCTTAACTCAAACACTTATGGTCACTTTGGATCAATACAGAATATTATCTTTCCAATTCAAACACTCTATTACACACTCAGTATTGTCGATGCCAGTGCTATGCCAATTGCTATTCCACAGTCTGGTGCTAATCCATAAGCCACTGGCTATCAGCCCATGACACAACTCAGATGTGGTCACATTGCATGGAGGGATATCCATGCAAATCAAGCAAAAGGTGGGTGCTAGACTGAATATCAAGCAAAAGGTGGGTGCTAGAAACAATATCATACGAAAGCTGACTGGCACAACCTGGGGATCACAACCAGACACAGTGAAGACATCTGCCCTTGCGCTGTGCTACTCTGCTGCTGAGTATGCATGCCCAGTGTGGAACACATCTCACCACGCTAAAATAGTAGATGTGGCTCTTAATGAGGCATGCCGCATTATCACGGGGTGTCTGCACCCTACACCACTGGAGAAATTACACTGTTTCGCAGGTATTGCACCACCTGACATCCGCCGGGAAGGAGCAACCAATAGTGAAAGGACCAGGCACTGACATCTCCAGCTCATCCCCTGTTTGGGTATCAGCCAGCACATCAACGACTTAAATCAAGAAATAATTTTCTAAGATCTACAGAGACACTCGCTGGAACACCCCAGCAAGCGAGAGTCCAAAAGTGGCAGGCTCAAACCCAGAACCTCAATCAATGGCTGGGCACACAGAAAACTGGGCGACTTGGAAGGCACTGAACAGACTGTGCTCTGGCACCTCGAGATGCAGAGCCAATCTTAAAAAATGGGGCTACAAAGTGGAATCCACGACATGCGAGTGTGGAGAAGGGCAAACCACTGACCACCTGCTGCAATGCACCCTGAGCCCTGCCACATGCACAATAGAGGACCTCCTTGCGGCAACACCAGAGGCACTCCAAGTGGCCAGATACTGGCCAAAGGACATTTAATCAACTACCAAGCTTGCAAACTTTGTGTTTTGTCTGTTTGTTTGTTTGTTTGTTTGTTTGTTTTGTAAAAATGCAATACAACTGGTTGCTCCTGACACGATGAATAAATTGCATGGAGGGGAAGTTTGCCAGGCTCCTCCTTTTAAGAATCATAGGATCTTAGCCATTGGATATTGGATGTTTATGCTAAAATGTGAAAGATCTCAGGCTGTGAGAGGGAAAAACACATTTGTCTGACAGAGCTTAAGCTTTCACTAGCACAGCATTAGCAAAATCAAAACACAATGGAATTGAACTGAGGTACCAAGAACTTGCGTTGAAAAGAAAACAGGAGCAAGGCATATCAAAGCAGCTGATCATAGCACCCCTGTTAAAGCACGCACAGAGACAAAATGAATTCAGTGCACCAAATCAAAAAATACCACATCAACTGGTTGATAGAATAAAAAACAGTTTACTCACAATAACTTGTGCAAAACAACACACAGGGACAGGTAACTTGGTTGCAGGATATTAACGCCGTAATCCAAAAGAACAGAGACTAAAAGGTGGATTCCTCAGCTTGCACACGGGTCCAAAAAGCAGGCCATGCTTCATGCCCGTGCAGGCTACATAACTGGGACTGGACTGGACTGGACTGGGGAACAAAGGAGGAGACCCCTCTTTATAACTTCGAACCTCAACAGCATTGCCTATGGACAAGTACCCTCTATAAGATGCTCGAAGATCTACGGAAGTGTCAATTGGGGGATATCATAAAACAGACAAGAAGGAAAAAAGCAAACCATTTAGGGTGCATGGGCGAGTGTTAGTTCCCCAACATTGGAAGAGATCCCAAAGGGTCATCCAGTCCAGCCCCCTGCTGCCATCCAAGAGATTACAACCAAAGCCCTCCCAACAGATGGCCAACCAGCATCTGCTTAAGAGCCTCTAGAGATAGAGGTTCTACCACCACCTATTCCGTTTTGAATGCTTTCATTTCCAAGGTTTGTGGAATCCCAGAGTTGGAAGGGCCATCCAGCCCAACTTCATTCTGCCAGGCAAGGAAACACCACCAAAGCCTTCCCAACAGAGAGACATCCAGCATCTGCTTCAAAGCATCCAGAGAAGGAGGCTCCATCAACCCCCTAGGCAGCATCATACTGTATTTATTCAAATGTAATGCTCACCTTTACATCATACCGTATTTACTCAAATCTAAGGCTCATCTTTTTTGGCTAAATCACCTTCCAAAAATGCAGGTGTGCATTAGATTTAGGTAAAGCAGTCATCTTCTGAGCCAAAGCCAAAGGGAAAGCTGTACCTAGAGGGACCTCGTTTCTCATTTAATTGCACTGAATTGGTGCTATGCGATGCTGGGATTTGTAGTTTGGCGAAGTATCAGGATTATTTTGGCCACCCCCAATCCCAAACAATATCCCTTTTGCACAGGGCCTGTATGGCCATCTGTCAGGGGTACTTTGTGCTTTTCCTGCATGGATCGTGTGGTCTCTTCCAACTCTATGATTTTATGATTATTTTGAAGCTGCTTCTCTTAGGGCTTGACTTCCAAACATTTGGCCTTTGTTCATCCTTCTCTGGACCCTTTCCCTCCCTCCCTCCCAATTGAATTGCTTTGCCTAGAACTGGATGCAGGGCTTCTATTCCAGGTGAGAAGGTCTTCTCAAAGCAGAACAGAGTGGGACCAGGGCTTCCCTTGATCTGGACCACTATCCTCCCATTGATACAGCCCAGAATCACATACAGGCATTTTTAGCTGTCGTGTCGCACTCTTCTCCAGGGATTCCTACATATTCTTCTTCTTGGGAGTGCAAGGGATTGAATTTTGGACTTCAGGGGTGTGTTGAAAGCATGCCTTGTTTTGCTGAGGCCCCTCTCCTGCCTTTTATTGATCTACGCTTCAACCTTTGGCAGTTTTTGCAGTGCTTCCAAATGTCAGTGAGGGCTGACAGTGAGGGTTCCCTCTTGCCATCCCATTGTGTTGCATCCCATTGCTTGAATTTTTATATAACTGTGATCTGGACCCGATGTGGCCATTCATGTCAAAAGGAACTGTCTGCACAATCGCAAATTGTGCAATCTGGGTCTCTTATACAAGTTGAGCGCTGTCCTTCCTTCCTTCCTTCTTTCCTCTGCTGACGGATGGCTCGCTTCAGCGATCCTCCCCATGTTTTGTTTGTACAAACCAAAGTGACATCTTAATCTTCCTTTTGGCAGGACGCACCGGTGCTTATATCACAAGGAAAGGGAATAATGCCCTACTTATCTGGGAAAAGGGCTGGAGGTGGGTTGTATGAAAGAGGGGAGGCTGCGCTGGGCAACTCTTTGAGCTGAAAAGCAGCCTTGCATTCTGCTTTGTGACAGGACACAGCCGGCATGGAAGGCGCTCAGGTGAAGGCATGGCTGGCCCAGGGGCCTTTGCCTCCCGATTTCATTATACAGCTCCTGACTGGGTTTCCTCCCATTTGTTTTCCATAGAGTTCTCTGGCCGAGACGCTCGACAGCAGCGGGAGCTCCGAAGCACAAAGGAGCGACATGATCTACACCATCGAAGACGTTCCTCCCTGGTATCTCTGCATATTCTTGGGGTTGCAGGTACTCGCCTAATGCACTGTGGCCATGGTGGTGGTGATGATGTTGGCGGCATTTGGATTAGTATTATTAATAATAATATTTATTTATATCCTGCTTTATCTCTCCCAAAGGAGACTTCAAGCAGCTATGTATTTATTATTATTATTATTATTATTATTATTATTAGAGCCCCTGGTGGCGCAGTGGGTTAAATCCCATTGCGCAGGTTCGAATCCGGGGAGAGGCGGATGAGCTCCCTCTATCAGCTCCAGCTCCTTATGCGGGGACATGAGAGAAGCCTCCCACAAGGATGATAAAACATCAAATCATCTGGGCGTCCCCTGACCAACGTCCTTGCAGACGGCCAATTCTCTCACACCAGAAGTGACTTGGTTTTTCAAGTTGCTCCTGTCACGATATATATATATATATATATATATATATATATATATAGAGAGAGAGAGAGAGAGAGAGAGAGAGAGAGAGAGTTATAGTTATAGTTATAGTAATTAATAATAATACCCGGTTTTATCTCTCCCGAAGGAGACTCCAAGTGCCTTAACATAAGAACATCTGCATATAATTTAAAATATACACAAATGCAAACATTAAAACAAGATTAAATATAAACAGCATTTAAAAATTCACAGTAAATAACCACTCAGACATATTCCAAGTGAAGATTGCTCCCATCCAATCATGATTGGCATTTTTAATTTTAAATATGACTCATATTTAAAGGAGCCCTCGGTGGCGCAGTGGGTTAAAGCGCTGAGCTGCTGAGCTTGTTGACTGAAATGTCGCAGGTTCGATTCCGGGGAGCGGCGTGAGCTTCCGCTGTCAGCCTTAGCTTTTGCCAACCTAGCAGTTTGAAAACATGCAAATGTGAGTAGATCAGTAGGTACCACTCCGGTGGGAAGGTAACGGTGCTCCATACAGTCATGCCAGCCACATGACCTTGGAGGTGTCTATGGATAACGCTGGCTCTTCGGCTTAGAAATGGAGATGAGCACCACACCCCAGAGTTAGACATGACTGGACTTAATGTCAGGGGACAACCTTTACCTTTTTTACGACTCATCAGGAAAAAAAAAATCTCAATTACAGGCCAAGGGCCCTGAGTTATAAACGCCCGACTAAGAAATGACTCCTAGTTAAGAATGGGGCTGAGAGAAAAGGAAGTGTAAGGAATCTTCCTTTAAGAAGGAAAATCCACATCCAGAAGAGTTATTATTATCCTGGGGAAAAGGGATGGCCAGTGAAGCTCGATGTCCAATCCTTGCTTCCACAACAAGCCACATTTTGCAAAATCTCATTCCCACAGGACAGAAGGTGTGGGGAAATCTTCTGAACAGAGAAAACCAACAGCAAAGGAACCCCTCCCCCAGGGGTGTCCACTCTTCCCTATGCCACCCAAAGCTAATATGTGCATATATTTGGCACATATTAGCTTGATATTAACTCCAAAATTGTGAGCTTGATATTAACTCCAAGATCTTCCTGAGTCTGACATTAATGGCCTGCAATTATAAGATTGCAGTAACTGGAGGTCTGCAGTCTTATCTTTGATTCTAGTTTTCCCTGGTTCTCTATTATCCAGCCCAAAGGAGAGGCGGGTAATAAATAAAATTCTTATTGTATTATTATTTTCATTATTATTTACTTAAATCTAATGTTTGCCGTTTTTGGCTGAATGACCTGACCAAAATGAAGCTGCGCATAAGATTTGCATCATACGGTAATCTTCGTGTTGAGCCAAAGCCAAAAGGGAAGCTCCTTCAAGAGCTCCTCTTTGAGGGACATCACCTCTCATTCAATTGCTATGCAATCCTGGGATTTGTAGCTTGGTGAGGTACCAACATTTTTCAGCAGAGAAAATTCAAGACAGATCTGTTGCACCAGAAAGCAGGCTCTTGGGCAAAAGATCAGGGCATCATCCAGCCCAAGATGATCCTCGATCTGCCGATGTCTTTGCCTTTGCAGCACTACTTGACCTGCTTCAGCGGCACCATCGCGGTGCCCTTTCTGCTTGCGGATGCCATGTGTGTTGGGACTGACCAATGGGCCACCAGCCAGTTGATTGGGACCATCTTCTTCTGCGTTGGAATCACAACTTTGCTACAAACGACTTTCGGGTGCAGGTGAGTGGGAAGATGGCGCCTCATCATACTTACACTTCCTGTTTAGAGCTACTTATTTCCACAAACTGCTTATCATGTCTGTTTCTCCTTCCCATTGCTTTCTGGGTATATTATGGTGGAGTTGCCTTCCTTGGAGGCTTTTAAGTAGAGACTGGATGACCATCTGTTGGGAGGGTTTGGATGGTGTCTTCCTGTCTGGCAGAATAAAGGGGGTTGGGCTGGAATATCTTCCAACTATAGGGGAAGGTAGACTACCTGGGAGCCCAGTAGATGACCGTCTGTCTTCCTGCATCACATACGCCATCAACCAGTCTTCACCTGCTTGAATCAGGGCCCCAGATAACTCCAGGAACAGGCCTCAATCACCAAGGCACCAAGAAACTTGCTTTGTTGGGCTGTGTAGTCAATAATTCAAATCCTTTTGAAGCATCCAAATGTTATGATAGATAGCACTATGTCACATTATTTTTGTTCCTGGATCATCAGTCATTTCCTAATTGGTTCTGTCATAAAAACATGGAGAAGTTTATTCAATTGTCAAAATTTTGTTTCTGCGGGAGAGAGGGAGGGACATCATCCTGCTACAGCACATTTTGCTCTAGTTTTCCAGTGAATATCTTATCAACGAGTCCCAACCAATTAAATCAAGTTTGTGGCAGCCACAAAACCAAAGTTTCTGGGTAGAACAACAACTTCCAAAGTAAGGTAAAGATAAAGGCTTCCCCTTGACATTAAGTCTAGTTGTGTCTGACCTTGGGGGATTTTTTTTTTTTGTCGTGTCAGGAGCTACTTGAGAAACTGCAAGTTGCTTCTGGTGTGAAAGAATTGGCCGTCTGCAAGGATGTTGCCCAGGGGACGCCTGGATTAATTGATGTTTTTATCATCTTTGTGGGAGGCTTCTCTCATGTCCCTGCATGAGGAGCTGGAGCTGATAGAGGGAGCTCATCCGCCTCTCCCCAGATTTGAACCTGCGACCTGTTGGTCTTCAGTCCTGCCAGCACAGGGGTTTAACCCACTGCGCCACCGGGGGCTCCTTGGGGGATGGTGCTCATCTACATTTCTCTTAGGTCATGTGGCCAGCATGACTGTAAGGGGTGCCTTTTACCTCCCTGCAAAAACAGTACCTAGTGATCTACTGATATTTATTTTTGAACTGCTAGGTTGGCAGGAGCTGGGGCTGACAACGGGAGGTCATTCCATCCGCAGATTCAAACCGCTGACCTTCCAGTCAGCAAGTTGAGCAACTCTGGTTTAACCTGCTGCACCACTGCAGCCCCTGGTAAGGACCACACAATTAAACAGGAACAACAAACCAAGAACAGAAGAAAAATTCAATTTTTGCTCTATAGTGTTATAGCTCACAGAAGTCAGCACAATCTCTTCCCTCGTTCCTCTCCCTGTTTTATGGTGGTTTTTATTTCTGCGCTTGGCACACTTTGACTGACTCTGGGTCAGAGAAGAATCTCTTTTAGGGTTTGGTCCTGTTTTATAAAGGCAGGGCAGGGCCGTCCACGCCAGGAAAAGAACAAGGCCTTTATTCTTGGCAGGACAAAGGTGCATTTTTCCAAAAGAGGTCGAGAAAAATTGCAGATCTCTCCCTGGGTGCAATGCAGGGGAATTCCTGAACAAGGCTTGGTGGTTTTCTTTGGGAGGAATCACAATCCTATTTGAACTGGCTTGGTGTTTCCGTCCTGCTGAGACACTCTTCTCCACCCAGTAATATTCAGTTTCATGGGCAAATAGGTCCTGCTTTTGAAGAAAGGATTCCCAGAATTATTGGAATAACCCAAAGGAGAGAAGTCGAGAGATGTCGGCGGAAGGTTGGATGCCAAGAAGGACCTGGCCACCATAATTGTGAACACAGTGAGGACAGGATATGCCTGTCAATCAAAGTGGTCCCAGTGGTGATCGGCACACTGGATGCAGTGCCTAAAGACCTTGGCCTGCACTTAAACACAATCGGCGCTGATAAAATTATCATTTGTCAGCTACGAAAGACCACCCTATTGGGATCTGCATGCGTTATTCACCAATACATCACACAGTCCTAGACACTTGGGAAGTATCCGATGTGTGATCCAATATAACAACTAGTATAGTGGTCTTGTTTGCTGTGTACTAATCTTGTTGTGTTTCAAATAATAATAATAATAATAATAATAATAATAATACATCACACAGTCCTAGACACTTGGAAAGTGTTTGACTTGTGATTTTGTGATACGAAATCCAGCATATAGATCTCGTTTGCTGTGACATACTGTGTTTTTGTGTCAGTAAAATAGTAATAATAATAATAATAATAATGGGAAAAAAGTTAAAAAAAAGAGGGTTCACAACCCACTGAAGAATTAAAGGTAGATAAATTGCTAAATGCAAGAGAAAAAACAAGTAAAGTAACAGTGGTAAAATATATATGGTAGAAGATAAGGAGTTTATGACTGCAGCAATATGTAACATATGGAATGAGGTTAAATCATTAAGAACACAAGAAATAGAAGAAATAACTAGGAACATGAATAAAATAAAAATAGAAAAATATAATGAATTAGAAAAAAGATGGCATTAAGATGGTATAGGACTCTTGAACAACTGGCTTATATGGTAAAAGGAAAGAATTTGAAGTGTTGGCATTGTAATAAATATATGTGGTGGGAATATTCTGAAATAAAAAAAAATTCTGGCAAATGATACAAGCAAAAATCCAGGAGATATTGCAGATAAAAATTCAAATTAATAGTTATTTGCTACTATGGGGAGTGTTGGAACACCCAAATATAAAAATCAATTGCCAGGAGTTACTTAAAGTAACAATAAGAGCAGCACATGCGGTGATCACTAGAGGATGGAAAGACAAATCGAAATGGATGTTAAGCAATTGGAATGATTATATGTATGATCAAGTGCTGTTAGACATTACGGGAATTATGACTCAGCAAGCAATAAGAACGGACAAATACAAGGTTATTACAAATAGATGGAAGATATATTGTCGAAGGCTTTCATGGCTGGAATCACTGGGTTGTTGTAAGTTTTTTCCGGGTTATATTGGGTGATGGTTGGAGTTTTTATGTAGATATCTATCTGTGTGTGTGGGTTTTCTGTAAATGGTTTGACCCAATTGTTGACCTGGGAAAGAAGCCATTGAAATCCACAAGCATGTGGACAATTTCAACAGAAAGGAGAAAACCATGAAAATGAACAAAATCTGGCTACCAGTATTAAAAAAAACTCTAAAATTACAACAGCAAAAGCAACAGAGGGGAAACAATCAGGGACATCTAATCACCTCTCAACAAAAGATTGCTCCAGGCACTTCCAGGCCATCAAATGCTAATCAAGGTGGTCAGTTGAAACATTCACACCTAGCTCCAGCAGACAAGAGTTATTTGCCCCACCCTGGTCATTCCACAGATATATAAACTCACTTTCCTAGTTCCAACAGCCCTCACTACCTCTGAGGATGCTTGCCATAGATGCAGGCAAAACGTCAGGAGAAAATGCCTCTAGAACATGGCCATATAGCCCGGAAAAACTACAACAAACCAGATAGAAGATACACTTCAACTGGGTGAAAAATGGAGGAGCCTATGATCACATCAAAGAAAAAAATACAAAGAGTTTACCAGTGCTTGGATCTGCAAGATTAGTAGAAATATACTGTGGTTGAGGAGGGAGGGGGGGAAGAAATATAATCTACACCAGTGTAAATTAGCATAATGCCATTAATATTTGTTGAATTACTCGGGATTTATGCTTGTAACACTTGCTGATTTGCTTATTTGTGTTTATAGAATAATGAAATACGTTTTAAAAAAAGATTACACGTCATCATAAAATTTGAAAAATCTTCTATTCCTGGTTTGAAAGTGTTATTCCTGTTTAATTGTGCAGTCCTATCTTTGAAAGGAGTTGTTCTGCTCCAGAAGCTCCATTTTGTTGAAGTTGAATTGGTGGAGACTCAATGATGAGATATTCAGTGAAAAATGATAGCGAAATGTGTGGAAATAATAATTGGGACCGTTTATTTTCTGGTCCCAATTCAAGGTACAGGTTATCACCTACAAAGCCCTAAATGGTTTGGGGCCCACCTACCTTCGTGACCGTATCTCTCTCCACGTACCAACCCGTGCCCTTAGATCTTGTGGGAGGCCCTACTTTCACCCCTACCAATCTCACAAGCTCGTCTTGTGGGCACAAAGGAGAGAGCCTTCTCCTCTGTAGCTCCCCGATTTTGGAACTCATTACCTGGAGATATCAGGAAAGCCCCTTCGCTAGAAACGTTCAAAAAGAACCTTAAAACCTGGCTCTTCCGCTGTACAATATGACACCATTGCACCCCTCAACACTCTTCCCACTGGAATACACGCCCTCCAAATGGGAAGTTTAGCTTCACAACTATGTATTTTTTTACTAGTTCCCCTGCAGATAACTTACTCCTATTTTTATCTCATTAGAGTCTTAGAATCATTTTTATCCTGTACATGTGGCCCACCCATTGTTATTATAATTGTGTTTATTGGAATGTTATTTTATGACTGTTTATAATTTTTTTTCTTGATGTAATTTGATGATGTTTACTGTTTATGCTCTGGTTTTATTTTGTTGTAATATGTTGACCGGGCTTAGGCCCATGTAAACCGCTCCAAGTCCCCATTGGGGAGATGGTGGCGGGGTATAAATAAAATTTATTATTATTATTATTATTATTATTATTATTATTATTATTAATACTCCCCAAATAATCCCCCTACCCAAATCCCACCCAACTCTTGGAAGTAGTGTTTTTGTACCATGCACCTGTGTCAGCATAAGAATTTGCATTTCAACTGGTCGGGATGAGTGTTGCAATTGTAATTACTGCTTTTGCCAGCCAGATGAACTTGCCCTATGCAAAAAGGCATCAACAGGAGATCGGTTTGCACGCTGGTGCCTTTGCTCTTTTGCTTTCTCTGTTATTATCTCCAGATGTTTCTGCCTGGGAAATTGAAATGAAGCCTGCCCTGTTTTTGGAGCACTTCCCATAAAAGCAATATTCTAATAAGCCCTATGTTTCATTCCATTTTAATTGTCAAGCTTGCCACCTTGACGTTCCTTTCCGCCTGGGAAGGCAATATACAAGTGGCTGTTGTTTTGTAAATATGAGCCTAGCATGATATTAGAGAGTGGTTCCCGTTAAACCCAGCCTTACTTGACCCTCTCGTTATAATACTATTATTTGCTAGCCATCCCCTGCCACGTGTTGCTGTGGCCAAGTCTGTGAATATGTGTTTTGTGTGTGTGTATATATATGTGTTTGTGTGTATGTATGTATATGTGTGTATTTATGTGTGCATACATGTGTATATATTTGTGTATTTGTGTTTATATGTGTATATGTATATTTTGTATATGTGTGTGCTTGTGTATATCCATATATGTGTGTATATATGTGTGTAGGTGTATATGTAGGTGTGTGTATACTGTATATTTGTGTGTGCTTGCGTATATTTATTTATTTATTTGTTTGTTTTATTTAAAACACTTATATTCCGCCCTTCTCATCCCGAAGGGGACTCACAGCGGAGCACAACATATACATGGCAAACAGTCAATGCCTGGGTACAATACATAAACATTAAAAAATATTTATCTAAATAGTAAAATACACCATTGGTAGAGTGTTCCATAGGCGGGGGCCCACAGCCAAGAAGGCCCTGTCTCTTGTCCCCGCCAGACGCATCTGTGCTGTTGATGGGAGCGAGAGCAGGGCCTCCCTGGATGATCTTAGATTACGAGGTGGGACATAGAGATGGATGCGTTCGGACAAATAAGCTGGACCAGAACTGTATATGTATATTTCTGTGTTTATATGTGTATATGTATATTGTGTATATGTGTGTGCTTGTGTATATGCATATATGTGTGTATGTATGTGTATATGTGTGTAGGTATATATGTAGGTGTGTATATGTGCATATTTGTGTGTGCTTGCATATATATCTGTGCGTGTCTGTCTATATGTGTGCTTGTGTATATGTATATGAATGTATATGTATATGTGCATATGGTTTATTTTGGGTGGGATGTTAAAGTCCATTCTGCTAGTTTTTTGTGTGTTTTTAGGGGTGATGGTCACTCATTGGCCTAATAGGTGCATTGTGTCCAAACTTGGTGTCAATTCGCCCAGTGGTTTTTGATTTAGGTTAATCCCACAAACGAACATTACATTTTTATTTATATAGCTTTGGAGAATGTATCTGTTGGTATAATATAAGAACACTGGTTTGTTAGAATATTTATATCTTATTAGTGTTGTTCATTGATCTCCGACTTATGGCAAACCAAAGGCTGGCTTATCCCAGGGTTTTCCAGGCACATTCCTTGCTCTTCCTGTTTACCCCAAATCCCTTTTGATTGAATGGAATGCACCTGCAAGAGTCCTCTTCTTAGGTCTGCGATGCCATTGCAACTGTGGTGAAGCTGCGGTCTTTCTTTCCCACAGGTTACCCTTGTTTCAGGCCAGCGCCTTTGCTTTCTTGGCTCCGGCCAAAGCCATCCTCGCCCTGGACAAATGGAAGTGCAATAATACAGGTAAGCAAGCGGGAGCAGTCTGTTTTTGTCTTTAAACCAATTACCCTGTTGACTCCAATCTGGTGCTCACCTTTTGGGGCTAAATGACCTCCCCAAAATTAGGATGCGCATTCGATTTGCATAATATGGTCCTCTTAGTGCTGAGCCAAAGCCAAAGGGAAAGCTGAACACTCACGTCAACATCGTCGCACTTATGTTGGATGTTGAAAAGTGTCACAATCTGAGAATGACACCTGATGTGTCGAAATCCGTGGCACAGAGTGAAAGCAAGGGTGGATCCCATGTTTATTACGTCGTTCTTTGATTGTAAGGTGCCATCAGTTGTATGACACACACTCTTGTCAGGATTGCTATCAGCAGGAAAGCTATACATAAAGGTTAAAGATTTCCTCTTGAGATTAAGTCTAGTCGTATCCAACTCTGGGACTCTGGTGCTCATCTCCATTTCTAAGCCAAAGAGCCGGCATTATCCGTAGAATCCTCCAAAGTATTGTGGCCACTGGCATGACTGCATGGACCATCCACGATTCTGAGGTGCACCCAGTTTTGCGAGAGTGTCAGATGCAAATGCATCCACAGAAATCATTCAAACCTGGTTTCTTTTCAAGGCCAATCGTCCACCCATCTTGTTTCCACTGTGTTTCTCAGAGTAGAAAGAACTTCTGTTGTTACTTTTAAATCCCTTTGCCCAGGTTTGGGATAATGTAACTGGGTAGGTTGTAGATATTCAGATAGGTCATTGAGGCTGTTAGGTATTGCGCCAGTGCTTTGGGTAATGATGGGTGTGTGCATTCCATGGCCAAAAAGGAAGGCCCAATCTCTTGCTCAAGGTGTATCAAGCCCAGTGACTCACCTTGCCTCCAGTGGCTTTGATGATGTCTTCTTTGAATCCAAAGACCCACCTGGTTCCCAGGAAAGGCCCAGCTAGATCTCAAAGAGGGGTGCGGGAAAACGATGACAGATTACAGCTTATTATTGCATGCAAAGTGCATTAAAGTCCTTGCCTCACTTTCTGAGCAACCGTTTTGCAATGGGATGAGATTATGGGGGATCATGGCTAACGGTACCTGCCCAATTTTTGGGTGCATCTATGCTGTGGAATGAATGCAGTGTGGCCTCACTTGAATGCAAATGTTGGTGCCTCTTCACTTCCAACATGGGAGTAAAAAGGAGCTAGAATACTTGAGGGAAATGGTACTGGCTGTCAAAGAGGAGCCCACATCAAAGACCCACATTGCTTTGGGCCAGCATTGTCAATAACCGCTAGCCATAGCCTTTAGCCTCTTCCAAGCAGAGCATGTGTCAATGTATCTGTGCTTTCCTCTTGTCTTTATAATAATAATAATTATAGTTTATTTATACCCCGCTACCATCTCCCCAAGGGACTCGGTGCGGCTTACATGAGGCCAGGCCAACAATACATCAGTAAACAAAAGCAATAACAAAAACAATCAATACATAACAGTTTTGCAGTCTCCTTTCTTTGGGTTGTACAGGGAAAGATGGTACAGGCCAGGATTGCTTTAAATCTTGGCATTAGGAGGACCACATTGCCACAAAGTTGCACAAATTTTTTTTTTTTGGCTCCACTGTCATCCAATTTCTAGGTAACTCTGCAAACCAATGCAAGGGAGGCCGAGACATGGTAGAATTGCCATTGGTCTTCCCAGTGGGTGGGCTTTTCAGTCCAGTTGGGGCAGAAGGCACTTGTGGGACATAAAAAGCAACATTGGGTTGCACTTTTCCCCACTTTTAAATGTTTCAGTGACATCTTTTTGGACTCAGGAGTGTTGTGCATTTAGTATTATTATTATTATTATTATTATTATTATTATTATTATTGTGCATCCCTGTCTGATTCTATGTTTATTTATTTATTTTATTTACCCCGCCTTTCTCAACCCCCGGGGTGGGTGGAGGGCTCAGAGCAGCTAACAAAGGCAGCAATTCGATGCCACAAATCAATAACACAGTATAAAACCATAAATATATACAGAGTTAAAACAATAGCAATTAATTATAACCAGTTATCATAACAGTCATTAAAACAAAACTCAGTCCACAAACCCATTGATAGAACAATAAAACCTTATCCTCATATATATCCTCTTGCCAATCAATTTCCAGTCAAAGTGCTGCTTCATGTTTATTGTCCAAAAGCCTGGTCCCAAAACCAAGATTTTAATTTCTTCCTGAATACCAGGAGGGATGGGGTTGATCGTATTTAATTTGGAAGCGCGTTAACCATAGAATTTAACCACATTGATTTAAACCATGCAAGTCTTCTGTGACTTGCATGGTTTCCCTTTAATGTGTCCCAATGCCTAATGGTTTCTCTTTCTACTTTCCTCAAGCCATAACGATGACGAACGGAACGACAGAGCTGCTGCACACTGAGCACATCTGGTACCCCCGGATACGAGAGGTAGGTAACTCGCGATGCGGATTGGCGGCTGCCCCTCCCCTTCTCCCTTGGATCATTGCAGGGTTGTGGAGCTGGTTCCCCTTCTGCTTCCCCTTTGCTTCCTGTTGCAAAGGGTTTTTTGCCCATATTCAAGTTGCAACCTTTTAAAACAAATATAATCACAACTATGCAACAAAGGGGTAAAAGTAGGGTGCCACCACCCCAGATTTGGACACAAAGCCCAATTTCCAAAACTGTTTTATGTCCAAAAATAAATAAATAAACAATTTCATTCTGCCTGCTAAGTGTGGATCCAGTATTTTTATTTCCTTGCCTACAATCTAGTGCAGGCCTGAGCCACTTTTGGCCCTCCAGGTGTTTTGGACTCAGACTCCTACAGTTCCAAGTTGACTGATGGAGAGGTGGCGGCCTCTATAAATCATTAGAATAATTCAAATGCAATAGTGTTGTTGCATGCCAATAAAAGTGTGTGAATGGCACCCAAGGGACGCTTTGGCTTGCAGTTTGAGATCTGTTCTCGCCCAGGAACGTGTCATAGAAATCGGAATGCTGTGGTTGAGCTCTTTCTCTTCCTCTCGCTGCCAGATCCAAGGCGCCATCATCATGTCCTCCTTGATCGAAGTGGTGATTGGCTTCCTGGGCCTGCCGGGCGCCTTGCTGCGCTACATCGGGCCGCTAACCATCACGCCGACCGTGGCGCTCATTGGCCTCTCTGGCTTCCAGGCAGCTGGGGAGAGAGCGGGGAAGCACTGGGGCATCGCCATGCTGTGAGTCCTCTTTCTTGGCTTCTCTTCTAGACGTGTGCACGGAGAGGTTTTTTGCCGGTCCCTTTGGCCATTCAGCTCATCTGTTTTGTTACGGGTGCTCAAAACAGCAAGGACCCAGCTGTTACGGATTCCTGTCCGAAAAGGGACCACATGGCAACCAATTACGGCTCCTGCTCCCCTGTTCGGCATCATAGTTGAATCTTTATGATCTTCCTTTATTTTCCTGATTCTTTTATTTAGTGGGACTTACTACAGTACCATTTACCCTTCTCCTTTTGTTTTTTAAATCAGGTTTATTTATTACACAGATCTATGAGTCAATAGTAAACAATGCATGCTTTATCCATATGAATATGTCATGTATCATAAACCAGTATGGATGTTTTTCCAACGTCTTCAACTTAGTCTTCTCAGTTCTCATAATCTTATTCTTAGATGCAGACACCTGAGTTACTTTTAATATTAAAGCATAGAGTTGGAAGAGATCTTGTGAGCCATCCATCCCAACCCCCTGGTTGGGCTGGATTATTTATTTATTTTGTCATGTCAGGAGCGACTGGAGAAACCGCAAGTCGCTTCTGGTGTGAGAGAATTGGCCGTCTGCAAGGACGTTGCCCAGGGGATGCCCGGATGATTTGATGTTTTTACCATCCTTGTGGGAGGCTTCTCTCATGTCCCCGCATGAGGAGCTGGAGCTGATAGAGAGAGCTCATCTGCTTCTCCCTGGATTCAAACCTGTGACCTGTCGGTCTTCAGTCCTGCCAGCACAGGGGTTTAACCCACTGCGCCACCGGGGGCTCCGTTGGGCTGGATACACATATTGTATATTTATTTCTTTGTATACTACTGAAGTTGTGATTCCATTAAATTTCTGTGTCTGTTTTGCCCTGGGTTCGTTCTTGCCGAGGTTACTGCACTGCATTTCGTTGTTGTATTTATTTATTCCACGTGTTTTGAAGAAACAATACTTTCCAACAGGGAAAAAACTTTTTAGGAAAGGCCTGGGCAAACTCCGGCCCTCCTTCCAGGTGTTTTGGACCCCAACTCCCACAATTCCTAACAGCCTCAGACCCCTTCCTTTTCCCCCTCAGCAGCTTAAATGGGGCCTGAGGCTGTTAGGAATTGTGGGAGTTGGAGTCCAAAACACCTGGAGGAAGGGCCCAAGTTGGCCCATGCCTGCTTCAGGAGATCTTTTCAGAATATAGATTCCAAATCCAAAGGGGAACTGGTTGCATTTATAATTTTCTAAACAAATATTGCAAAGATTGTTCCAAGAAAAAGAAAACAATGCCATGCCTGCTGTTAAGAATGGATGGAGCGACCCATCTTTATGCTGCATGTCTTGATGGGCATTTTTTCTCGCACGTGCAGCTGTGCGACATCAATGCCAATGGGTGCAAGTGATTGGAGTGTTTGTGTGTTTCCCTCCCTTCCTCTGCAGAACGATTTTCCTGGTGCTGCTATTTTCTCAATATGCCCGGAATGTCAAGCTCCCGTTGCCCATCTACAAGTCCAAGAAAGGATGGACAGCCTACCGGTTGCAGCTCTTCAAAATGTTCCCTGTAAGTTGCCAATGTTTCGCCTTGAGTTCATAAAAGGCTAGAATTGAATTCTGTTCAAGTTGTTGCTGAATCTTTTTCTGCTTTTCCAGGCGTTGTCTTTCCTTAAGGGGACGGAGGCCGTGTTAAGGGAGCCTCGTGCTTCCTCCAAAATGGGCATTAGGGATGCTGAAACAATGAGCTCCTTATGGAGACAGACAGGAGATAAATCAGGCGGATAAATGCTTCTATTCTGGAATTGCTACCCACATAATTGGCTTTTTAGAAACGATTAAACTGGGGTGCCAACGGCTACTTGCTCGGATCACTGAATGGAACCTCCATTTGCAAAAGAAATCTTATCTTTGATTACACTAGGATGGTTGCTCCTGGGCGATCAATGTTGTTGTTCATTCGTTCAGTCGTTTCCGACTCTTCATGACTTCATGGACCAGTCCATGCCAGAGCTCCCTGTCAGCCGTGGCCACCCCCAGTTCCTTCAAGGTCAGTCCAGTCACTTCAAGGATACCATCCATCCATCTCACCCTTGGTCAGCCCCTCTTCCTTTTTCCTTCCATTTTCCCCAGCATAATTGACTTCTCTAAGCTTTCCTTTCTTCTCATGATGCGGCCAAAGTACTTCATCTTGGCCTCTACTATTCTTCCCTCCAAAGAGCAGTCAGGCTTTATTTCATGGAGGATGGACTGGTTGGATCTTCTCACTGTTCAGGGCACTCTCAGAACTTTCCTCCAGCACCACAATTCAAAAAGCATCCATCTTCCTTCACTCAGTCTTCCCTAAGGTCCAGCTCTCACATCCATAGGTGACTATGGGGAATACCATTGCTTTGACTATGCGGATCTTTGTTGCCAGTGTGATGTCTCTACTCTTCACTATTTTATCAAGATTGCTCTCCTCCCAAGAAGGAAGCGTCTCCTGATTTCCTGGCTGCAATCTGTGTCTGCAGTAATCTTTGCACCTAGAAATACAAAGTCTGTCACAGCCTCCACATTTTCTCCCTCTATCTCCCAGTTGTCAATCATTCTTGTTGCCATAATATAGTTTTTTTTAATGTTTAACTACAACCCAGCTTTTGCGCTTTCTTCTTTCACTTTGATTAGAAGGCTCCTCAGCTCCTCCTCGCTTTCAACCATCAAAATGGTGTACACACACACACACACACATATATATACACACATACACACAGACAGACATATATATGGCTGAAGTTACACTTAAGAATTGTCCCTGTTCCAACTTAGGAACAAACTTACAGGGCCTCTCTTGTTCATCACTTGAGGATGGCCTGTGTATATATCTCTATCTGTCTATCTGGCTTGAGTTACATCTAGTAAATGCCCCTTTTCCAACTTACATACAAATTCAACTTAAGAACAAACTCACAAACCCTCTCTTGTTTGTCACCTGGGAGCTGCCTGTAGTGTCTTTCTGTGTGTTATTCAATTGGATTGTGTTCTTTAGGTGTGTCCTTAACATACTTAACATAAACATGCCAAGTATGTTTTTTTTTTACTGAAACTTCATAAAACCATTTTTGCAAAGTAGATTGTAAGGTGGTGGTGTTTTCTGCCACCTGGTTCTTCAGTGTTGGTTCTATCCTGGTGCTTTTCTGCAGATTATCCTGGCCATCCTGGTCTCGTGGCTGCTGTGCTTCATCTTCACGGTGACCAATGTCTTCCCGCCCGACAATACCAAGTACGGTTTCTATGCGCGCACCGACGCTCGGCAAGGCGTGCTCTTGGTGGCGCCCTGGTTCAAAGTCCCTTATCCATGTAAGTATGTTTGGCCAGGGGTTTGTGTTTTGAAGACATTTCCCCTTATACTTTGTTTTATGAAGTGGTTACTTCAGTCACACCTTAATAGTTTTCCTCTTATTGCAGCACCTTGCTTATAATAGCAAAAGATGCTCCCTCCTTGGCAGTATTATTACACTCTGTAACATGATTTTTGTTCCTGGTTGGCAAATGCCATTTCCTAATTGCTTCTGTCCTAAAAACATGGGGAAAGTTTGCTAAACTGTCCAGACTTTGGCTTTGCAGGAAGGACATTCTGCAGCAGATATTATATAATAATAATAATAATAATAATAATAATAATAATAATAATAATAATAATATATTATTATTATTATTATTATTATTATTATTTACTACTACTATTATTATTTGAAACACAACAAGATAAGTCCACAGCAGACAAGATCACTCTGCTGGCTGTTGTAGTGGATCACATGTCGGACACTTCCCAAGTGTCTAGGACTATGTGATGTATCGGCGAATAACGTGTGCAGATCCCAGTAAGGTGGCCTTCTGCAGCTGGCAGATGGTAATTTTGTCAGCACCAATTGTGTATTATTATTATTATTATAAAATTATATTATACAACACGATTTTTGTTCTTGGGTTATAAATATAATTTACTAATTGGTTCTACCATACAAATATGGGGCAAGTTTATTAAAATGCCAAGACTTTGTTTTTGCAGGAGGGACATCCTGCTATAGCTCATTATATAATAATAATAATAATAATAATAATAATAATAATAATAATAATAATATACATTATTTAACACAATGATTTTTGTTCCTGGGTTATAAATGTCATTTTCTACTTGGTTCTATCATAAAAACATGGGGAAAGTTTATTAAACTTTCAAAACTTTGTCTTTGTGGGAAGGCCATCATGAAGCATATTATATTATATTATATTATATTATATTATATTATATTATATTATATTATATTATATTATATTATATTATATTATATTATTATACTATCTAAATAAATAAAAATGTAATGAGGATGATGGTCCTCCAGATGTGGTGTCTTGGTGTTGGGTCCTTAGGTTGCTGTGGAGCCCCCTTCTTGACTTGCATGTTCTTTTGCAGTGAGGACATTGGTTTCCAGGTGGAAGGCGGTCCCAGTCAGGGTTGGCTGGACACGCCTTCCTCTTGGCATGTTTCTCCCTTTCACCTTCCATTTGTGCCTCTTCAAATTCTGCAACACTGCTGATCACAGCTGACCTCCAGTTAGAGCACTCAAGGGCCAGGGCTTCCCAGTTCTCTCTTGGTGTCTATGCCAGAGTTTTTAAGGTTGGCTTTAAGCCCATTTTTAAACCTCTTTTCCTGTCCACCAATGTTACATTTCCCATTCTTGAGTTTGGAGTAGAGTAACTGCTTGGGGAGATGGTGATCTTTGGGCATTCGGACAACATGGCCAATCCAGTGGAGTTGATGACATGGGAGCATCGCTTCAATGCTGGTGGTCTTTGCTTCTTCCAGCACACTGACCTTTGTCTGCCTGTCTTCCCAAGAGAATTGCAGGATTTCTTGGAGGCAGCACTGATGTAATCGTTCCACAAGTTGCGTATGACGTCTGTAGATAGTCCACGTTTTGCAGGCTTACAGATGTCCCAGTCCTCAAACACTCTTCTTCATTCGAAAAAATGCTTCAGCCTATATATCCCTTTGGGATGTCACGTAGCATGCTATTATATAGCACCTTGTTTTGAATGCAATGCAAATGAATCCATTTCTTTCTTTCCTTCCCCTCCACAGTTCAGTGGGGTTTGCCCACCGTCTCTGCAGCTGGCGTCATTGGGATGCTGAGCGCGGTGGTTGCGAGCATCATTGAGTCCATTGGTGATTATTACGCCTGCGCCAGGTTGTCGTGTGCACCACCGCCCCCCATCCACGCCATAAAGGTGAACCTCCCCCCCCCCCCCCCCCCGCCACCACCACCAAAAAAAAAAAACAAGGCCTCACTGGCCTGGGCACCTCATGCCTTTGGCTCTGAAATACAAATGTCTTCGGGAATGTGACCGCATTTGCACATATACCTAGCATTTTCTAGGTGTCATAGAAAGGATGCTGCCTGCCTCCTTTCTCCCTTCTCTGAGGAGGCCCCTCTCACAATATCTCCACTCTGGCAAGTCTCTCAGCCCTCCTTCCTTTCCCTTCTATCCCTTCTTCTCGCTTCTCCTTTCTTCCTTCCTTCCTTCCTTCCTTCCTTCCTTCCTTCCTTCCTTCCTTCCTTCGCTTTCCTTTGTACACCTTCCCCTCTCTCTCTTTTTTCGTTTTTCTTCCTTTCTCTTCCTTTCCTTTTTCTTACACAATTTCTCCCTCTTTCCTTCCTTCCTTCCTTCCTTCCTTCCTTCCTTCCTTCCTTCCTTCCTTCCTTCTTCCCTTGCTTTCCTTTACACACCTTCCTCTCTTTCTTTCTTTCTTTCTTTCTTTCTTTCTTTCTTTCTTTCCTTCCTTCTTTCCTTCTCTCTTTCACTCTTCTTTCTTTCTTTCTTTCTTTCTTTCTTTTTTCTTTCTTTCTTTCTTTCTTTTTTCTTCCTTCCTTTCTCTTTTTGTCCCTTCCTTTATACACTTTTTTGCTCTCTCCCTTCTGTTTTCTTCCTTCCTTCTTCCCTTGCTTTCCTTTGCATACCTTCATTTTTCGTCTTTCTTTCCTTTGTACACCTTTCTCTCTCTTTTTTTTCTTTCTCTGTCTTTCTTTTCTTCCTCCCTCCCCCTTTCTTTCTTTTGTACACTTTCTTTCTTCCCTTCCTTTTTCTTCCTTCCTTCCTTTCTTTCTTTCTTTCTTTCTTTCTTTCTTTCTTTCTTTCTTCCTTCCTTCCTTTTATTTATTTATTTATTTATTTATTTATTTACAGTATTTATATTCCGCCCTTCTCACCCCAAAGGGGACTCAGGGCAGATTACAATGCACACATGCAGGGCAACACATTCAATGCCGTTTTTGACATACAAGACATACAGACAGATAGAGGTCATTCAGCAGTTTTTCAACTTTTACTTTGGATCCTAGAGGTTGCTCGACTCCAGCCAAAGGGGGAACTGTCGCTTCCTCCACTATTACACCGAGCCTTTTGATCATAGTATTTCCTCCTTGCTCTCTGGCATTTTTATGGTGTGTTATAAATTGATCTCCCCGCTTTAAGCGGTCCTTAATTTTTCTACACACAGCACAGCTGTTTTCGAACTGTTTAGGTGAACAGTAAGCTGGGCTATTTAACAATCAGGAGCTCAACTCCCACTCAGGCTTCAAACTTACCACCTTTCGGTCAGCAGTGATTTATTGGTGCAAGCGATTAACCAGCTGTGCTACCAGCCTGGCCCTTTTTCTTCCTTTCCTTTCCTTTCCTTTCCTTTCTACACTTTCTCCCTCTCTCTTTTTCTCCGTCCCTCCCTCCCTCCCTCCCTCCCTCCCTCCTTCCCTTTCTTTCCTTTGTACACCTTCCTTGCTCTCTCCCGCTCTTTATTTCTTTCTTTCTATCTCTTTCTTTCATTTTCTTCCTTCCTTCCTTTCCTCTCCCTCCCTTTCTTTCCTTTGTAGACCTTCCTCTTTCCTTCCTTCCTTCCTTCCTTTCTCCTCCCCTCCTCCCTCCCTTTCTCTTATACGCCTTCTCCCACTCTCTTTTCTTCCCCCCCCCTCCCTTTCTTTCCTTTGGAGTCTTTCCCTTCCTTCCTTCTTTCTTTTCTTTCTCCTCCCTCCCTTCATTCCTTATTCTTTTCTTTTTTCAATTCTTTCTCTTTCTCTTTTTTTCTTCCCTTCTCTTCTACCTTTTCTCCTTTCCTTTCCCTTCTTCCCTTGCTTTGTTTTGTATACCTTCCTCTTTCTTTTTCCTTCCTTCTTTCATTTTTCTTCCTTCCTTTCTCTTCCCTCTCTTCCTTTATTGCTTCCTTCTTTACCTTTTTCTTTCTTTCTTTCTTTCTTTCCTTCCTTCCTCTTCTACCTTTTCTCTTTTCCCTTCCTTCCTTTCCCTCATACACCTTTCTTTTATACACCTCTTCCTTTTTCTTCCTTTCTCTCCTCCCTCTCTCTATTCCGTCTTTCTTTCCCTTCCTTTTCTCTCTCTTTCTTTCCTCCCTCCCTCTTATAACTTTTTCCCTTTCCTCTCTCTCCCATCTTTCCTTCCTTTTCCTTTCTCCCCATTCCTTCCTTTCTCTTTTCCTTTATTGACCTTTTTCTGTTTCTTCCTTTCCTTTCTTTCCCAGTGACATCACAGAGGGCCACTTCACCTAGCCACAGCCTTTGCAGTACAAACATGCATGCATGCATACATACAGTCTTTGGCTTTTGCATAGATGTATCAGTGATAGGTTGAGTTCAGTTTTTTCACATTCATTAAGTAATTGAGATAAGTTCACACACACAAAGAGACAGATAGTTTGCAAGCGGACAAACTTGCCAGCAAAACAGAGGCCTTGCACCTGATATTGCAGCCACAGATCCACAATTGTTCTGCTTTGTTTTGTTTCCAATTTCCAGAGGCATTTTCATAGAAGGCCTTTCTTGCGTCTTGGATGGAGTGTTTGGCACCGGGAACGGATCCACCTCTTCGAGTCCGAACATTGGCGTTTTGGGAATTACAAAGGTACCTATTACTATTATTATCATGAAAATGAATAAAATCTGGCTACCAGTATTAAAAAACTCTAAAATTACAACAGCACAACAACAGAGAGGAAACAAACAAGGACATCTAATCACCTCTCAACAAAAGTTTGCTCTAGGCACTGTCAGGCCATTATATGCTAATCAAGGAGGTCAGTTGAAACATTCACACCTAGCTCCAGCAGACAAGAGTCCTTTGTCTCACCCTGGTCATTCCACAGATATATAAACCCTTTTTCCTAGTTCCAACAGACCTCACTACCTCTGAGGATGCTTGCCATAGATGCAGGCGAAACATCAGGAGAGAATGCCTCTAGACCATGGTCATATAGCCCAAAAAAACCTACAACAATCCAGTGATTCCGGTCATGAAAGCCTTTGATAATACATATTATTACCTTGTTTATATTTAATTCTGTTTTAATGTTTGCATATATGTGTATTTTAAATGGTATGCGAATGCTTTTATATTAAGTCTCCTTAGGGAAAGAGAAAGTGGGATATTATTATTATTATTATTAATAATAATTATTACTATTATTATTATTTGGCTCTCATTTTCCAATAAATATCTCACTATCGACTCTCAACCAATTCAGCCACAAAAACAACAACGTTTCTGGAGTATAACCACTCCTTCTAAAGCAAGGACAACTGCTTTCAAAGCAAGGAGTGCACCATTAAACAGGAATAACACTTTTGAACCAGGAACAGAACCTTTTCCAAGTTTTGTGATATAGTGTTATGAACAACCTCTTGATAATCTTGTCCCTACACCGTGGATGGTGCTGTTGTCTGTTCCCATTAGCAGAGAAGGCTTGTTGGAAATATCTTTAAAGGCTTTTGGTTTTACCTTTTCCTCTGTTTCTAGGTTGGAAGTCGGCGGGTGATTCAATACGGTGCGGCGCTCATGCTGTTGCTTGGCATGGTGGGCAAGTTCAGTGCGCTCTTCGCTTCCCTCCCTGACCCGGTGCTTGGAGCATTGTTTTGCACACTCTTTGGTAAGCACTTTTCCCCACACTTGCATACCCGTATATGTTTTGCATCGGATTATTTTATCGAGATTGATCATTGCTCTCCCCCCAAGAAGTAAATATCTTCTGATTTCCTGGCTGCAGTCTGCGTCTGCAGTAATCTTTGCACCTAGAAATACAAAGTCATTGCCTCCATGTTTTCCCCTCTATATGCTACTTATCAATCAGTCTGGTTGCCACTATCTTGTTTTTTTATGTTTAACTGTAACCCAGCTTTTGTGCTTTTTTCTTTCACCTTGGTTAGAAGGCTCCTCAGCTCTTCCTCGCTTTCGGCCATCAAAGTGGTATCATCTGCATATCTAAGGTTGTTAATGTTTCTTCCAGCAATTTTAACTCCAGCCTTACATTCGTCAAGCCCCGCACATCGCATGATGTGTTCTGCATACAAGTTAAAGAGGTTGGGTGAGAGAATATAAGCCTGCCGTACACCTTTCCCAATCTTGAACCAGTCTGTTGTTCCATGGTCAGTTGTTACTGTTGCTACTTGGTCCTTATACAGATTCCTCAGGAGACAGACCAGATGACTTGGGATCCCCATGCCACTAAGAACTTGCCACAGTTTGTTATGATCCACACAGTCAAAGGCTTTAGAATAGTCAATGAAGCAGAAATAGATGTTTTTCTGAAACTTCCTTCCTTTCACCATTATCCAACATCTGGGTATTGGCAATTTGGTCTCTCATTCCTTTGCCTTTTCTAAACCCAGCTTGTACACCTGGCAACTCTCTCTCCATTTCTTGCTGGTCTACCTTGCAGGATATTGAGCATTACTTGACTGGCATGTAAAATAAGTGCCACTAAACAAAAGTTTGAACATTCTTTAGCGTTTCCCTTTTTTGGAATAGGGATATAAGTTGATTTTTCCCCCAATCTGACGGCCATTCTTGTGTTTCCCATATTTTCTGGCATATGACATGCATTACCTTGACAGCATCCTCTTTCAAGATTTTAAACAGTTCAGCTGGGATCTCATTGTCTCCTGCTGCCTTGTTATTAGCAATGCTTCTTAAGGCTCATTCAACCTCACTCCTCAGGATGTCTGGTTCTAAATCACTCACCACATTGTCAAAGTTATCCTCAAGGTTATTATTCTTCCTTTACAGCTCTTCTGTATAGTCTCACCACCTTCTCTCAATCTCTCTAGCTTCTGTTAAGTCCCTGCCATCTTTGTTTTTGATAATGCCCATTTTTGCCTAAAATTTATCTCTGATGTTTGTAATTTTCTTGTCCTTCCTATCCTGTTGTCTCCTTCCACTTCCATGAATTGCTTGTTTAAAAATGATTCTTTATCTCTTCTTGGCTAACCTCTGGAATTGTGCATTCAGTTGGGCATATCTCCCCCTATCACTGTTTCCTTTTGCTTTCCTCCTTTCTTGGGCTACTTCCAGTGTCTCAGCAGAAAACCATCTTGCCTTCTTGGTTTTCTTTTTCTTTGGGACATACTTTATTGCCGCCTCCTGAACAATATTGCGGACTTCTGTCCATAGTTCTTCTGATACTCTATTTATTAAATCTAGTCCCTTAAATCTATTATTCACCTCCACTGCATATTCGCTAGGAATGTTAGTGAGATCGCATCTAACTGGTCTGTGTGTTTTTCCTGATCTCTTTAGTCCGATTCTAAATTATGTAATAAGAAGTTTGTGATCTGAACTACGGTCAGCCCCAGGTCTTGTTCTCACCGACTGGATGGATGACCACCACCTTTGACTGCAAAGGATGTAGTCAATCTGATTTCGGTGTTGACCATCTGGTGAAGTCCATGTATAGAGCCATCTTTTAGGTTGTTGTGTTTTCCTGGCAAAATTCTATCAGCCTACGTCCCGCTTCATTTTGTTCACCCAGACCATGCTTGCCTGTGATCCCAGTTGTCATTTGACCACCTTAGTATTCCAGTCTCCTGTAATGAAAATAATGTCTCCTTTTGGTATGTTATCCAGTAGGTGCTGCAGATCCTAATAGAATTGATCTACTTCTGCTTCTTCAGCAGCTGTGGTTGGGACGTATATTTGGATCATTGTGATGTTAAATGGCTTGCCTTGCACTCGAATTGAGATCATTCTGTCATTTTTTGGATTGTATCCAAGCACTGCTTTAGCAACTTTATTATTAATTATCAATGCTACTCCATTTCTTCGGTGTTCCTCTTGTCCGCAGTAGTAGATCTGATGGTCATCTGATGTGAAGTGGCCCATTCCAGCTCATTTCAATTCATTGACCCCCAGACTGTCTATCTTTAGTCTTGACATCTCACCAATAACAACATCCAGTTTGCCCTGGCTCATGGATCTTACATTCCAGGTTCCTATGGTGTGTTGATCTTTAGAGCATCGGATTCGTCGTTTACTTCCAGCACCGTCGGCCACTAGTCTTCCTTTCAACTTTGAGCTAGCTGCATCATCACATCTGGGGCTAGTTGAACTTATCTTCTGCTCCTCCCCAGTAGCATTTTGATGATCTTCCGACCTATGAGTTCCATCTTTCAATGGCATACCAACATCTCTCTGGTTGTACCTGATCCATTTAGTTTTCTTGGCAAAAATACTAGGGTGGGGTGCTATTACCTTCCCCAGAGATCGCGTTTGGTCTGACCTCTCTACCATGACTTGGGTGTCCCTTCACGGTTTCGCTCGTGGCATCATTGAGGTGCTCAAGCTCCAGCCACGACAAGGCAGGTGACTTCCAGATATTTGGCTGTGCTGCAATGCTCCAGTAGGATTCCTTCCCAGGTCATCCTCAGAGCTCAAGTTGGCCTTTTGTACTCGATTTTGTGCTGTTATGGCTGAATATATGTTTCTTTGTTTTTCCAAAGGGATGATTACCGCGGTTGGACTTTCGAACCTGCAGTTCATCGACCTGAATTCTTCCCGCAACCTTTTTGTGCTGGGCTTTTCCATTTTCTTTGGTTTGGTCCTTCCCAGTTACCTCCGGCAGAACCCACTCGTGACAGGTATTCCCTTCTGTGATCTCTTCAAGGTGTCGGGATTTAATTAATTAATTAATTAAAACATTTATATTCCGCCCTTCTCGCCCCGAAGGGGACTCAAGGCAGAGCACAGCATATATATGGCAAACATTCAATGCCACACCAATGGAGAGAGTCAAAAGCATTGGGATGTCTGCAATGGAGGAAACACATAAAATCTAAGATTGTCCCCAAATGAAAGGCTTCACTTTGGTGATGGGCAGAATTACGTTTGTGGAGGACATTAGCAAGGCTCTTGGACATGTTCACAGTGCTTGCTATAACCTGCAATGTCATTGGAGGGAGGGCCTTTGGTGTCTCCTGAGTACTGGGAGCTATATCTGGGTTTGGAGGCAGGAGCTTGTTTCTGTCAGTGGTACTCCAGCCACATACATATCTTCACTTTTATTATGTGTATAGATAGATAAATATAATAATAAATATAATAATGATAATTTTATTTCTTACCTCCTTCTCCTATTATTATATATAAATATAATAATAAATATAATAATTATAACATAATATAATGTGCTAGAACAGGATGCTCCCCCCCCCCCCCCCCCCCCAAAGTTTGTACATTTTTACAACCTTTCCCATGTTTTTATAATAGAACCAATTAGGAAAGAATAACATTTATCACCCAGGAACAAACATTGTGTTACATAGTGTAATATATTATTATTATTATTATTATTATTATTATTATTATTATTATCATCATTATTAAATTATAATATAATTATATAGCAAATATAATTATAATATAATATTAGCTAATTATATATATATTATATAATTATATATATATATAAATGTAATGTTCATTTGTGGGATTAACATAACTCAATACCCACTGGACAAATTGACACAAAATTTGGACACAATACACTGATCAGGCCGACGAGTGACCATCACTTATAAAAACAATGAAAAATGCAGCAGAAGAGACTTCAAAAGGCAAAAAATGCAAATTACATTACAACACATGCGCAAAACCACATTTATACACATATTCACAAATATATACACACATATATACACACAAAAACACATATACACAGACTGGGCCACAGCAACGTGTGGTAGGGGATGGTGTGTGTGTGTGTGTGTGTGTGTGTATACACCTTTCCTGTGTGTTTATGATAGAGCCAATTAGGATATGACATTAATCACCCAGGAACAAAAATCATGTTACAGAGTGTAATAGAGGAGAAATAGAAGAAGGGTTGTGACCCATGCGCCCCTATTGGAAGCGCCCAGGCACATAGGGTTGGATACTGGACTTGTAATGGACTTTCTTTTGCTCCTCTCTTCCGGTTCTCGCAGGGATCGTCAGCATTGACCAGGTGCTCAATGTCCTGCTGACGACAGCCATGTTTGTCGGGGGCTGCGTGGCCTTCGTCTTGGACAACACGATCCCAGGTCAGTCATTCTTCCAAGCTGCCTTTTCATTATTATTGTTATTATTATTATTATTATTATTATTATTATTATTATTATTTTATACCCCACTTTATCTCCCCAAAAGGGACTCCCCCAAACATAATGACAGGTGTGTTACACACTGCAAAACAGGCATGAGTTAATGCAGATTGTTAAGATAATAAATGTTTTGAAGGAACTATTTCCAGAGCCTTGGCCAGGAATGGTCCAACTTTGGCCTTCCCTCAAAATGTTTTGGACTGCTACTTCCACAATTCCTAACAGTCGATACTCCAGACTGCCATTAATCAAGTGCCAGCTAACATCTCCCAACAAAGGATTCCTCCAGGCAGCAATAGCCAGGCTTTGAAGCTGCAAGGCTACTCAGTGCTAACCAAGTTGGCCAATTGCACTTGCCTCCAACAGATAAGGGTTCTTTCTCCTACCCTGGATATCACAAATATATATACGGTCCAGTTGCCTACTTCCAACAGACCTCTATGCAGATACCCCCACTGATTGACTTTGCAGCTGCCAGGTTATTCAGTGCTAATCAAGATGGCCAATTGCAACATTTGCACTTGCCTGCAACAGTCAAGGGTTCTTTCTCCCACCTGGACATCAATCCACAGGTATATACATAAACCCCCACTTGCCAAACCCCACAACCTCTGAGGACGCCTGCCATAGATGTGGGCAAAACATCAGGAGAGAATGTTTCTGGAACATGGCAATACATAGCCTAGCTTACCTGTCTGAACTTAGCGGGGTACAAATAAAGTTCATTATTATTATTATTATTATTATTATTATTATTATTATTATTATTTCTGTGTTCTGGAACTTTCTCTCTTAATGTCTCTCCTTCCTTCCTTCCTTGTTCTGCAACCCAGGGAGCCCCGAAGAGCGCGGCATCCGGAAGTGGAAGAGAGGGGTGGGCAAAGGCAGCAAGGCAGCAGACGGGGCAGAGACCTACGACCTGCCCTTTGGCATGGAGACTGTGCGCCGGTACCGCTGCTTCGCCTTCCTGCCCATCAGCCCCACCTTTGTGGGCTATTCCTGGAAAGGTTTCCGGAGAGGCAGGCGCAGCCCTGACGACAACGACTCGGAGGCCACCGTATAGCCCCGGCCAACTTCCGCACGACTCCCTTTTGTACACCTGCCTTTTTATTCCAGAACCAGAGCCAAGGCGTGTTATATATATGGTTATTTAAAAAATAGATAGATAGATAGATAGATAGATAGATAGATAGATAGATAGATAGATAGATAGATAGCTTTCTTTCCTATTGTGGACGGTGATTGCTATCTATAAGGTCTCTCTTTTAGTTTCTTCGGGGGGTATTATTATTATTATTATTATTATTACACAACAGAGTTCTTTCTCCTGATCTTATTCCATCAACAATGGAAATTGAGATCTTAGTGGTTGGCTACATTCGGACTGGCCGGAGCTTCCAGCTGATACATTCCAGGTTTTGTTTACTTGTTTGTTAACACTAATTCATCATGACCTTCCTTCCGCTTGTTTATACGGTTCCGGCATAGTATAACGCTCTCATACGGGAGCGTTTGGCCAAACATGGAACTCATGGCGAGGTTTGCCTTTGCTCGTGTAGTGAAGCATTTCTATTGAGCAAGGGGCCTAAAACTAAGCCGCCCATTGTCTTGTCATCCTTTGCAGAGCTGGCCTTTATGTATATATAACACAGTATTTATTAAGCGCCAGGTGGGTTGTTTAAACCAAACGGCCTCTGCATTTGTGCCGGTCTTGTTTCCAGACCCAAAAGCGGCCTCGGCGTGGCCGGCCGTTGCCTTCTTTGTTCTCTTCCTTGTCTTTTTGTTGATTCCTGAGCCGGGCGCAGAACAAGAGAGAGACCCTATAGATGGCATCCCCTTCCGCTTGCTGGTTGTAACGGGTATCGGGGGGCTCCCCGCCAAAAAGGGGGTCCCTCTTTTCCTTGATTTCCTGTCCAAGCCTTGGCTCTGGCGTCAGCACGGAACTCTTCCTTCTCCTCGTCGCATCCGTAACAATGATAACACTCTATTCAGTGTTCTGACTATTAGTATTTCTCCCCCTCTTTCCCCCCTTTCTCCTCCTCCCTTCAGTATGGTCCAAAATGCCTTTTCCCCCTTCACTTGCAGAAAGGTGTCTCCGAGGGCAAGTGTTCTCTCTCAGCCAGCCAGCCAAACTTGGTCTCTCTCCAGCCCCATTTCTCTCCCCCGGCCTCGAGGGACTCGGGATGGCTCACAACACAAAAGACAAACATCCAATTGCCATAAAAACACAACAGTAAATTAGACAAATACAGACAAGTGATACGGAATATTCGACACTAGGACAGAAGCAATAATAGCAAATTATCAAAGGCTGGCATTGTGTTTGGCATTGTGTCTGAGAGCAGATTTGGAGAAATGGCTGCCTTCTCAAGCCTGGCTACTCAAAGGAAGCACCAAGCACAGCCCTGAGGTTATTAGGAAGGAGAAGGGTGCTGGATCTGTACTGAATGATGCAGAAGTTGGGTGAATGTGAGTGCTTTTCGGTGGTGGTTTCACTTTATGATCATTCTCATGGGCTGGTTTCAAAAAAGGTTTGTGTCAGAGTCGATACTCGGTTATTTAAGGATGTGAAATGCCTTTGCTTTGATACATAAACAGAGAGGGTAGTGCTTGAGGAGTAATAGCCCTTTCTTTGGAGGTCAATCCCATTGAACTGAGCCAGGTAGAGGCTTGTACTGTTGGAGTGTCCTTTTGGGGCAACTTATTTATTTATTTATTTACTTACTTCATTTATATACCGCTTTTCTCAGCCCTCAGGTGACTCAAAGCGGTTAACAACAGCAAACTTCAATGCAAAAACATCACAAAACGAATTTGAGACAGTTAAAAACAGTAGCATCATCAACGATTAAACATCAATATAACAATCATTAGCGTCTCATCAGTAAAATCAGAATCTAATCTCATCATCCATTATTCCGTATTCCTGTATTCAATTACACTGCTTAATCGAATGCTTGTTCGAACAGCCAGGTCTTCACTTTCCTCCGAAACGCCAACGGGGAGGGGGCCAATCTGATATCTGTAGGAAGGGCGTTCCACAGCCGAGGGGCCACCACTGAGAAGTCCCTGTCTCTCGTCCCCGCCAGGCGCGCCTGTGATGCAGGAGGGACCGAGAGCAGGGCCTCCCCAGATGACCTTAATGTCCTAGTTGGTTCATAGGAGGCCTCCTGAACACAGTGGGGCTTCCTTCTGAATGAGCCTGCACAGCAGGCGTATGGGCAAACTTGGGCCCTCTCTCCCTCCGTCCCTCCAGCTGATTTGGACAACAATTCCCACCATTCCGTTGGGGAGATGGTGGCGGGGTATAACTAAAGTTATTATTATTATTATTATTATTATTATTATTATTATTATTATTTATAGCTGTCTCAATCCAAATGTTGAAGTTGACATCCTTTCCCTTTTTATAGTGTCTTAGACAAGGGAGTCGGCCATGTTGTATACAAATCAGCATTACAGAAGAAAATCAAACACGTCTTAAGCAGACTTTTGATCTGTTTCTAGCTTTCCCCAGTTACAACTTATGCTGCATATACCTCTGCTACACACCTTTTACCTACTTAGACATGTTTTGTTTCTTTGTGGTCACTGCTATTTTTTTGCCCCAGCTCACCCTTACCTTGTGCCCCCTCCACCAGGACCAACCAACTCATTGTGTTTCCCAAGTCCAAAACTTCACTGCTTCTGTGGCCGGCTTGTGCCCCTTTCCCTCATTAAAAATATAGTCAATACATTTTCCCATATATATATTCCAAAAATCCATTTGTTTCCCTATTCCCTTTTTAATTTTAATTTTGACAATCAGCTTGTCATTCACGGCTATGTCCAAAATTTCCCTCTCTCATTCTTCTCATTGAATTTCCCTTCTTTCTTTCCAGCCAATATTTTGCTATTCACACTGTCTCTGCTGTGAGCAAATCAGAGGCCAAATCCTTCTCCTTTTGTGAAGGAATGGTAGGATCATATATGATTAGTAATGCCGATTTTGGTGTACTCCCTACCTCAATTTTAATGATTGCTCTTATTTCTTTGAATGCTCTTTCCCAAAACTTTTGGCTTGACAGAACCACCACATATCTGAGGATGCTTGCCATAGATATAGGCGAAACGTCAGGAGAGAATGCCTCTAGACCATGGCCATATAGCCCGAAAAAACCTACCACAACCCAGTGATTCCGGCCATGAAAGCCTTCGACAATACATTACCACCACATATGTCGATCTGGGCCTGTTTCCTGGCAGCCTCTCTAGCATTGATTCAGATATATTTTTTTATCCATCTGATTTTATCTAATGGGGTCAGGCGCCACCCCCGTATCGTTTTGTAATAGTTTTCCTTAATTCTTATGGGCATATTTTGTAGTAATCGTACACTTGGTATCCTTGCCATTCCTGATTTCTAAATCTGCTTCCCATAGGTGGACTTGACCCTGTTCGTCCATTAGTCATAGTTTATAGATATTGCTCATGGTGCCTTTTAAGGTTACATTTTCGTCTTGAACCTCCCTTTGCATTCTCATTTCTTCCTTTTTCGTAGATTCCCTCCCCCATTAATACAGTTTCCTTCCATCACTTGACCATTCCCACCATTATAAATACTTAGACCACCGCAAGTCTCTTCTTATTCATCCATCTTTTATCCTTCCCATATTTTCCACCTTCCAGTCCCAGTTGCTTACTTTCCTCTTGCCTCTTCCTTTAAATTCTGCTTCAAGTTCTTTTTTAAAATTTGCTGGGACGTTTTCTGTCCTTGGAACTGGCATGAGAGGAATGGTAGGAGTGGCAGTCCAAAACTTACCCAAGTTGATCCAGGCCTACTTATAAGGATAGGGCTTCATACCATGTTCCCATCCCGTGTTCTATGCGCAACCAAAGAAAGGGCAGCTGCAATGGTACGCAATGCCAAAGTCCACTCATTCTGCAAAATTGTAGAGACACAAGAGTTGTGTGTCTGTCCATGTCATGAAAAGATTTTAATATGGATTAGGTTTCTCGTCATGGTCATCCTATTTGCTAAAGTGCCAATCGCATGCCAAGGCAGGCATGAAACATGAACACGATGTCTTCATCTTTAACGTGTTGCCTGTTTCTGGCCATGTTGCCTATGAGGTCCGTGGGTCTTTTGGACCTTCGCAGGTGCGTTTGTGAGCATAGAAAACTCCAGCAGAAATCCTATACTCGGTTATTTGTTTGGAAATGAAATCACAAACATTTCTAGGTTAACCCATAACCATTTGCAGACGAATTAGTGAGCATACAAAACCTCAGATGTCTCGCAGAGATTGCACACTCAGTTATTTGTTTTGAAAATGACATCCTAAACCATTAGCTCAATGTTGACTCATTTGTAGAAGTGTTCCTTCCAGGACACACTCTTATTTTATTGCACAGGTTTTCTTCCTAATGTATTGTGGTGATTTTGATGATGATGGAGCATTGGTCCATGCATCACGTAGAAGCAAGGAAGGACAGTGTTCCTTCGATGCGCTCCTCTAAGTCTCACTTCTGCTGCAATGTGGGCTCAGTAAAGAGTTTTGTGTTTGGGATGGTTAAATGGTTTCCTCTGATTCCTGCTAATTTGGAAGGTTTTCTCTTGTGTTTGTCATGTCAAACCAATGACAGGGAACTCAAAGCTGTTGCGCAAAGCCTTTGCAGTGTTTACTAAACACAGTCTGCTTTCCCAGATGGTTCTGGTAAGGAAAATACTATCGACAATGCCTTTCCAAGGCCTTGGGTTTTTGACATAGCATTCTCTATCCTTTGGGAAAGGTTTTGGTTGGGAGACTTGAGAACATCGGGAACTTTTAAAGTCTTTTCTGCTGGGAATGAATGTTATTGCAGTGTAAAAATATAATGAAAGGCGCTTCTCGGTCTGGAGAGGTGCTTCCTTTTGCTTCGTTGCTAAGATTGTAAACTCTGCGTCCATCAGCAAAAGGAGGATTTGGTTGCAAAGAGAAAGGCAAAGAAAGGGACGAAAACAGCTCTTGTGCAGCTTGCATTCCTTGCGAGGCATTGAATTGAGCCTGGATCTATGCGTCAGAAGGGACTGAGACTGTTTCTTACCCAAAATGCCTTAAAACCAGGCTTTGACTTTGTTATTTGTGAAAGAGATGTCATTGCAAACCTGCTTGTCTTATTTTGAGAAAGATGGAGGCCTCTTTGCATGGAGTGCATGAACATCCGCTGCTGATGGAAGGCTTTGGAATTGCTTTTGCATTGGAAAACAGTATATTTTGGAAGAGTAGAGAGCCAAAAGGTTGTATTCAGTGTATTTATTTCGAGACATTGAACAGGTGGATTGGTTTGTTGGAAGGCACTTCAGGCGTCAGAATGGCTCAAATTTGTGAAGATTTACCCTGGATGCCATTCGGATCCTGTTCATATTATCAAAGGTGAAAGGTGGAGATCTGATACTTGAACATCAGTGGCTGGAGGAGAATTCGGAAATGCTTTTGCATTGAAAAACTGGATATTTTGGAGGAATAAAGGTGAATCTTTTGTGCTCTTTTTTTTGTGAGAAGGCCTGAAATAGGTGAAACTTGCTTTTCTGCCGTGATGATGACATAGAGAGCAAATGTGAGGTGGCGATGTGCCAAAGGGTGCCTTTCCTTGTAGCTATGGCTTTCCATCACTTAAATTAAATTTAAATCAAAGCAATGTGGTCTGGAGAGAACGCCCAGGCGGGGGAAAACGCATTCACCATTTTCAATGACAAACAGTAGAAAAATGTGTGAGGGACACATCCCTCTCTTCCCCCGTCAACGATAGATCCGTGCGTATCGTCTAGACAAAAGTATTTGGAGCACTTTTGTATTCAAAACTGAAAACGATGCTGACTTTTTTTTTACTATTACATATTATTATTCGGTTAACTTAAGTCCTTTGGCAAAGGTGTTTGAATGTGTCTTATATGAAAAAAGATGCCTCTTGAATTTATATTTAATTGTTAACTTTTATCTGAGATTGGTAAACAAACAAACAAACAATGCCAGAACCTGTTCTTATTCAATCAGAATTTACAGCAGTCGGGTTTGTTTTACACCATTTAATATAAACTTTCAAATACGGTGACTTTGTATATTGGGATCTTGCAGTATTTTATTTCCATAGATTTTAGGGGGGGAAACGAGAAAATGTAATTAATTATAATAATGATGATGATTATGATGATGATGATGATGATAACCTTTCTGACCACACCCAACCAAGTGACATTTCTTCCCAGGAGGATAAATATTGCGAGGTTTCCTGGGCGGGAGTGCGATATGATTGTCATGACAATGTCATGGGATAGAATTTCTTCATTCACGAATTGCTAGCGATTGTGTATACTTTATTTCACCCAGGCTTCCGTTCCTCAGGGAGTCCGTCGGGAGTCAGCATTATGATGACCATTTATCCATTTAAGGCAAAAGAAGGTGGCAGTCGGCTCGGATTTGGTCCGTTTCCTCCGGTTTTTTGGTGCCCTGGACCTGGATGTTAGGGCAGCATCTCTATCTATATGATCCAAGGAAAATAGTTCTCTGCGCAAAACTTGACAAATGTCCTGTTCCTGGTTTGAAAGTGTTATTTCCTGTTTCATTGTGCGGTCCTTCCTTTGAAAGGAGTCATTCTGCTCCAGAAACTCTGTTCTTGTGGCAAAAAATATGTCAAATGGGTTGAGACTCAGTGAGATCGATAATAATAGTTTATTGTCAAAGGCTTTCATGGTCGGAATCACTGGGTTGTTGTAGGTTTTTTCGGGCTATATGGCCATGTTCTAGAGCAGGGGTCCTCAAACTAAGGCCCGGGGGCCAGATAGGGCCCTCTGAGGGCATTTACCCGGCCCTCACTCAGGGTCAACCAAAGTCTGAAACGACTTGAAGGCACACAACAACAACAATCCTATCTCATCAGCCAAAAGCAGGCCCACACATCCCATTGAAATTTGAATAAGTTTATATTTGTTAAAATTGTTCATAATTTTAATTATTGTATTGTTTTTAAGTGTTTTGCACTACAAATAAGATATGTGCAGTGTGCACAGGAATTCGTTCATGTTTTTTTTCAAATGATAATCTGGACCTCCAACAGTTTGAGGGACTGTGACCTGGACCTCTGTTTAAATAGTTTGAGGACCCGTGTTCTAGAGGCATTTTCTCTTAACGTTTCGCCTGCATCTATGGCAAGCATAATCAGAGGTAGTGAGGTCTGTTGGAACCATGAAAATGAACAAAATCTGGCTACCAGTATTAAAAAACTCTAAAATTACAACAGCAAAACAACAGAAAGTAAACAATCAGGGACATCTAATCACATCTCAACAAAAGATTGCCCCAGGCACTGCCAGGCCATCAAATGCTAATCAAGGTGGTCAGTTGAAACATTCACACCTAGCTCCAACAGACAAGAGTCCTTTGTCCCACCCTGGTCATTCCACAGATTTATAAACCCATTTTCCTAGCTCCATCAGACCTCAATACCTCTGAGGATGCTTGCCATAGATGCAGGTGAAACGTCAGGAGAAAATGCCTCTAGAACATGGCCATATAGCCGAAAAAACCTACAACAACCCAATAATAATAATAATAATAATAATAATAATAATAATAATAATAATGCCTTGTGTTGTCAAGGCTTTCATGGCCAGACCTCACGGCCTCTGAGGATGCCTTTAGACATAGATGTGGCTGAAATGTCAGGAGAGAATGCCTCTAGAACATGGCCATATAGCCCGAAAAAAACCTACAACAACCCAATAATAATAATAATAAGTAATAATAGTAATAATAAAGCCTTGTGTTGTCAAGGCTTTCATGGTCAGATCTCACAGCCTCTGAGGGTGCCTTTAGACATAGATGTGGCCGAAATGTTAGGAGAGAATGCTTCTAGAACGTGGCCAGGCAGCCCAGAAAACTCACCGCAGCCTGATCATAAAATGTTATTTATATCCCGCCCTATCTCCTCAAGGGGACTTGGGGTGGTTCACACTAAATATTGGCAAACATTCAATGCCATGAAAACTAGACCAAGGCGAGATAATACACCCCACCCTAAACCCCCCCCCCCTCCAAAAACCCACCTCTATCTACATGAAAAGTAGTCACAGATAAACAAGAATTAATTAATAATATCACAAATATACGATTCCGCAGCTTACATTGGGAAGAAACAGCCAGGATCGAAACCAGGCATGGGCCAACTTCAGCTTTCCAGGTGTTTTGGACTTCAACTCCTACTGGCTGTTAGGAATTGTGGAAGTTGAAGTCCAAAACACCTGGAAGGCCGAAGTTGGCCCATGCCTGATCTAAACAAAGCAAAATCTATTGGATAACTATTGCAAAATGTACTATTACAGGATGATGTCTGTCCCGCACAAACAAAATTTTTGCAGTTTGATAAACTTTCCCTGTGTATTGATGGCAGCACCAATTAGGAAATGGCATTGATAACCCAGGAACGGAAATTCTAGCATGACAAGGTATAACAATCTGCAGGAAGGAGGCTTTTTCCTATGCGCTCCATAGCATTGGGTTGCCCTTCATTAAGGCCTGGGAATCCCATTTCCTACAACATCCCAGACATTCCCGCCTGGCTAGGATCTTAAATTGTGGCTGTTCGTTCTTGTTACCTGCGCATATAATGACCTCCCATTGCAGAGAACTATACTGCCTTCCGCCTCTTTCCGAGTGAACCATCTCGCCTCCGATCCAAAGTTGTCGTGCATTTTTCTAACCATTTTAGATGTAACAAAACTCTCTTGACGAGGTTGCATTTCTCTTTTTTTTCTAATAAATAAATATATTTTATTTTCTTATCATTTCTGTGAATGGCTTTAGCATCAAAGTGTCAAGCCATTCTATAGAACCAAGTTTCAGGTTGGTTTATATATATATATATTCTTGTTTTCTTTCTTTCTTCCTTTGAGATGTGTAATTCTTTGACTGAGATTTTTTTATGGATTTCTTTGTGTGTGGATTTTTTTTCTAACGGTGAAATATTTAAGAAAAAAATATGTAATATTTGGACCAGATGTTGTGAATAATAAGAATAATAGTAGATTTTGAAAAAAAACTATTTTATTCTGTATTTTTAAAAAAGCTGTTCAGTATAAATAAAAGGTGACCTAGATGCAACTTTGCAACTGGAGCATTGTGGTTATTTCTATCACTATTATTATTATTTCATAAATGCTTAACAATCAGCATTAAAGTCTTGATTCCAAGCCATTGAGCCAATAGGAAAGGCAAAAAATGTATTATTGTATCATCATTATCTCCATTTTCTCAAAGCTAATCAGAATTGTAATCCATGCATCATCATCATCATCCCTCCTCCTCCTCTTCCTCTTCTTCTTCTCACAGTCATGGTTCATGCATTCTATTATTATTATTATTAGTAGTAGTAGTAGTAGTAATAGTAATAGTAGTAGTAGTATCACCATCATCATCTTCTCAAAGCTAAAGATAATCAGAATTGTGGTCCATGAATCATTATCATCCTTCCTCCTCCTCCTCCACCTCAACCACCACCACCACCACCTCCTCCTCCACCACCACCACCTCCTCTTCTTCTTCTTCTTCTTCTCACAGTCATGGTTCATGCATTCTATTATTATTAGTAGTAGTATCACTATTATTATTATTTCATAAATGCTTAACAATCAGCATTAAAGTCTTGATTCCAAGCCATTGAGCTGATAGGAAAGGCAACGGGTAACAAAAAATGTATTATTGTATCATCATCATTATCTCCATCTTCTCAAAGCTAAAGATAATCAGAATTGCATCATCATCATCATCCCTCCTCCTCCTCCTCCTCCTCCTCCTCCTTCTCACAGTCATGGTTCATGCATTCTATTATTATTATTATTATTATTATTATTAGTAGTAGTAGTAGTAGTAGTAGTAATAGTAGTAGTAATATCACCATCATCTTCTTCTTCTCAAAGCTTAAAGATAATCAGAATTGTGGTCCATGAATCATTATCATCCCTCCACCTCCACCTCCACCTCCACCTCCACCTCCACCTCCTCCTCCTCCTCCTCCTCCTCCTCCTCCTCCTCCTCCTCCTCTTCTTCGTCTTCTTGTCACAGTCATGGTTCATGCATTCTATTATTATTATTATTAGTAGTAGTAGTAGTAGTAGTAGTAGTAGTAGTAGCATCACCATCCCTCTATCAGCTCCAGCTCCTCATGCAGGGACATGAGAGAAGCCTCCCACAAGGATGATAAAACATCAAATCATCCGGGCATCCCCTGGGCAACGTCCTTCCAGATGGCCAATTCTCTCACAACAGGAGCGACTTGCAGTTTCACCATCATCTTCTTCTCAAAGCCAAAGATATTCAGAGTTATTGTTCATGCGTTGTATTTATAATATGGTAATAATAGTAATAATAACTGACTTTTTCAAATAACCCGGGCAATGCCAGGGGTCCAAGATAGTAGTAAATATGATGGCAAAAACCTTACTATTCTTTATTTAGCACATGGGAAGGTGCATGCAGATACCTATTTATTTATTTCGAGCATTTATATCTCGTCCTCCTCACCGCCGAAGAGGGACTTAGGGTGGCTCACAACCGGCAGCCATTTGATGCTAACACAATACAATAAAAACCACCTTTACAATTAAACAGGATTAAAACTTTAAAAACAATTCAATATAAACATGTGTGTGTGTGTACTGGTGATATACATCTGTGTGTATATGTTGTGGTGTGGGTGTACTAAACCCTATGGTATAACAGTTAAACCTTGCTATTTTTTATTTAGCACATGGGGAGATACATGGAAATACATACACATGTGTGTGTGTGACTAATATTAGAGGTAAGACACTGCACTAAGTTTGATAATAAAATATGATGACTAAAACCTGATACATGAGATACATGCCAATACAGATAGAATCGGAGAATCCTAGAGTTGGAAGAGACCTCATGGGCCATCCAGTCCAACCCCCTGCCAAGAAGCAGGAATATTGCATTCAAATCACCCCTGACAGATGGCCATCCAGCCTCTGTTTAAAAGCTTTCAAAGAAGGAGCCTCCACCACACTCCGGGGCAGAGAGTTCCACTGCTGAACGGCTCTCACAGTCAGGAAGTTCTTCCTAATGTTCAGATGGAATCTCTTTTCTTGTAGTTTGAAGCCATTGTTTCGTGTCCTAGTCTCCAGGGCAGCAGAAAACAAGCTTGCTCCCTCCTCCCTGTGACTTCCTCTCACATATTTATACATGGCTATCATATCTCCTCTCAGCCTTCTCTTCTTCAGGCTAAACATGCCCAGCTCTTTAAGCTGCTCTTCATAGGGCTTGTTCTCCAGACCCTTGATCATTTTAGTCGTCCTCCTCTGGACATGTTCCAGCTGGTATATACATATCAGGATGTGTGTGTATAGCTAAAATTAGAATTAAGACACTGCACTAAGTTCTATAATAAAAATATAGATACCCATATACATATATACATGTATGTATATACACATACATATGTATAGTGTGTGAATGTGTGTGTGGATAGATAGATAGATAGATAGATAGATAGATAGATAGATAGATAGATAGATGACAGACACTGCACTGAACACAAGAGAACCTTTTGAATCCCATCCATCTGCACCATCACCTGCAAACCCTTCAGAGCAGCACCCTTCTTGCACGCCCTTTGATGCCAAGTGAATAAAACCCTAAAAGGCCCCCGACTCATTTAAACCAAGTTTGCAAGTACAGGGAGCCAGAGAGCTTCCTTTGCTGGGCTGGACTCCATAGCCCATCATCCCCTGCATGACCCTGCAGCTGCTTCTTTTGTGGTCTTCCTTTCTTGTCCACTTGGAAGCGCTCCTGAGCCTGTCTCAGCCACAGAATGGCCCATGTGCGCACAGGTCACATCTCCTCATCCTTCTGTTTTCCTCCCAGTTTTGCACAGCTTCCAATTCCCAGTTTATTTGCATTGACCTCCTCAAAGGTCAAAGGGCCAGAGGGCACGGCCCCGTATATCCACATTTGACCTCATAGGCTGCCCATAGGCCTGGCTGAGATCCCTTTTGAGAGGGTTTGCTCTTCTCTCTGGTTTGGTTCCACCCGAACTTTAGGAATCTCTCCCCTTTCGGATATGAAGGCCGCAAATGGAGAAAAAAAAGGGGGAAATAAAAGAATAATAATACAATGTATTGTCGAAGGCTTTCATGGCTGGAATCACTAGGTTCTTGTGGGTTTTTTCGGGCTATAGAGCCATGTTCTAGAGGCATTTCTCCTGACGTTTCGCCTGCATCTATGGCAAGCATCCTCAGAGGTTGAGAAGGTCTGTTGGAATAACACAATGGGTTTATATATCTGTGGAATGCCTGGGGTGGGGCAAGGAGCTCTTCCCTGCTGCAGTTAGGTGTGAATGTTTCAGCTGATCACCTTCATTAGCATTTGAAGGCCTGGCTGAGCCTGGGAAAATCTGTTGCTGGGAGGTGTTAATCTGTGCCTGGTTTTTTCCTCTCTGTTGTTTAGCTGTTATAAAGCCCATTAAAGCCTTGGCAGACCGTGCAAAAAGAATCTGCGAACCCCACCTCCTCCAAGATGAACTGAACCACCTCAACTGGGCTCTCCAGGCCAATGGATACTCCACCTCAGACATCAGAAGAGCTGCAAGACCAGAACAAGCCACGAGAGTAAAGATGAAGATCCACCCAGAGGAAAAGTGTTCCTGCCATACATCAAGGGAACCACTGACCGCATAGGGAAGCTGATGAGGAAACACAACATACAAACAATCTACAAACCCACCAAGAAAATCCAACAAATGCTACGTTCAGCAAAGGACAAGAGGGATCCTCTCACCTCTGCAGGAGTCTACCGTATACCATGCAGCTGTGGACAAGTCTACATAGGGACCACCAAACGCAGCGCCCAGACACGCATCAAGGAACATGAAAGGCACTGCAGACTACTTCAACCAGAAAAGTCAGCCATAGCAGAGCACCTGATGAACCAGCCTGGACACAGCATATTATTTGAGAACACAGAAATGCTGGACCACACCAACAACCACCATGTCAGACTACACAGAGAAGCCATGAAATCCACAAGCACGTGGACAATTTCAACAGAAAGGAAGAGACCATGAAAATGAACAAAATCTGGCTACCAGTATTAAAAAACTCTAAAATTACAACAGCAAAACAACAGAGAGGAAACAACCAGGCACAGATTAACACCTCCCAGCAAGAGATTTTCCCAGGCTCAGCCAGGCCTTCAAATGCTAATGAAGGTGATCAGCTAAACATTCACACCTAACTGCAGCAGGGAAGAGCTCCTTGCCCCACCCCAGCCATTCCACAGATATATAAACCCATTTTCCTACTTCCAACAGACCTCACTACCTCTGAGGATGCTTGCCATAGATGCAGGCGAAACGTCAGGAGAAATGCCTCTAGAACATGGCTCTATAGCCCGAAAAAACCCACAAGAACCTAATAATAATCATCATCATCTGGCATTCCTTCCTTTGCCATTGAAGAAGTATTTCTGGGCAGAAAACACCTTGTCATGTCATGGCCTCCATATTTTCTTCCTCTATTTGCCAGTTATAAATCAGTCTGGTTGTTTTGGGTTTTTTTATGTTTAGCTGCAACCCAGCTTTTTCCCTTTCTTCTTTCACCTTGATTAGAAGGCTCCTCAACTCCTCCTTGCTTTCGACCATCAAAGTGGTGTCATCTGCATATCTAAGGCTGTTAATGTTTCTTCCACCAATTTTAACCCCAGCCTTGCATTTGTCAAGCCCTGCACATCGCATGATGTGTTCTGCATACAGTTCTTGGTGGTCTGGGCATACCAAATCACCTTGTCTCTCTCCTGAGGAATCTGTATAAGGATCAAGTAGCAACAGTAAGAACTGACCACGGAACAACAGACTGGTTCAAGATTGGGAAAGGCGTACGGCAGGGTTGTATACTCTCACCCAACCTATTCAAGGCAGGGAGAGAAGAAAGAAGGGAAGAGAAGGAAGGAGAAAGAAAAGAAGGGAAGGGAAGAGGAAGGAAGGAAGAAGAAAAGGAAGAGAAAGAAGGAGGTAGAAAGGGGGAAAGGAAGGAAAGAAGAAGGTAGGTAGGTAGGTAGGTAGGAAGGAAGGAAGGAGGAAGAAAAGGAGAAGGGAAGGGAAGAGAAAGGAAGGAAGGAGAGAAGAAAAGGAAGGAGGAAGAAAAGGGGAAAGGAAGGAAAGAAGAAAGGAGGAAGGAGGAAGAAAAGGAGAAGGAAAGGGAAGAGGAAGGAAGGAAGGAGAAAAGGAGAAGGGAAGGGAAGGGGAAGAAAGGAAGGAGAAAAGGAAGAGAAGGAAGGAAGAAGAAACGGAGAAGGGAAGGGAAGAGGAAGAAAGGAAGGAGAGAAGAAAGAGAAAGAAAAGGAGAAGGGAAGAGGAAGGAAGGAGAAAAGAGAAGGAAGGAAGAAGAAAAGGAGAAGGGAAGGAAAGAGGAAAGGAGGGAAGAAAAGAGGAAGAAGGAGGAGAAGAAGAAGGAAAGAGGAGGAGAAAAAGGAGAAGGAAAGGAAGAGGAGAAGGAAGGAGGAGAAGGAAGAGAAGAGGAGAGAAGGAGGAGGAGAAAAGGAGAAGGAAGGAAGAGGAAGGAAGGAGGGAAGAAGAAGAAAAGGAAAGAAGGAAGGAGGAGAAAAAGAAGGGAAGGAGAGGAAGGAAGGAAAAGGAAGAAGAAGGAAGGAAGAAAGGAAGGAAGGAGAGAAGAAGAAAGGAAGAAAGGAAGAAGAAGAAAAGAAGAAGGGAAGGAAGGAAGGGGAGAAGAAGAAAAGGAAAAGGAGAAGAGGGAGAGAAAGACAAGGGAGAAAACTAGAAGGGAGGAGGAGGAGGGGAGGAAGAGAAGGGGAAGGGGAAGAGGGGGGGAAAGAGGAAGAGAGCCCTTGCTCCCCCTCCCCCTGCCCCGCCCCCAACCCGCCCGCATTGTCTGTCCAGATGGCCCTTTCCCCATCTGCTGCTTGGCCCCGCCCCCTTCTTTGCGGCTCCTCCAATGGGCGCGCGGGGCGGCCAGAGGGGCTCCGGGCGGGGCGCGCCCATTGGCGGAGGGAGGGAGGCAGGGGGAGCCGGGCGGGGTGGTGGTGTCTCTTCCCGGCGCCTGGCCTTGCTGCGGGATCGGGGCCGCCGGAGCCAGGTAGGAAGGGGGGCTTGGTCGGGGTGCGCCCCCTCTTGGGGGAGTTTGCACACCCTTTTCGAGGAGTTTCACCCTGTTGTCTCCTTTTTGGGGGGTTTGGCATCCCTCTTTGACTCCTTTTAGAGGAGTTGCACTCTTCAGAACCCCTTTTTGTGGGGTTTGCACCCCTTTCCGACCCCTTTTGGGGGAGTTTGCACTCCCCACAAAGCTTTTGACCCCTATTGGGAGAGCTGCATCCCTTTTGACCCACTTTTTGGGGTGTTTGCACCCCTTTTTGGGTGGAGTTGACTGTATGGCATGGTGATTCTATCTCAAATCCTTTTGTTTTTAAGGTTGTGAGCTTCTTTGGGACTCAAGGTAGGGAACGACGCGGCAATAAAGGCAGCACAGAAAACATCCATCGTGGCCAATATTGCAACTGCTTATTATTATTATTATTATTATTATTATTACTATTATTATATATTCACGTAACAACACAGCAGATATGCATATGAGGCTCAAGTATCTGCACCCAATTGTATTATTATTGTTGTTGTTATGAGCCAACATAATGTTCAAATCTCTGATCCGTTCAGCAGTGGAACTCTCTGCCCTGGAGTGTGGTGGAGGCTCCTTCTTTGGAAGCTTTTAAACAGAGGCTGGATGGCCATCTGTCAGGGGTGATTTGAATGCAATATTCCTGCTTCTTGGCAGGGGGTTGGACTGGATGGCCCATGAGGTCTCTTCCAACTCTGATTCTATGATCAGATATAAATATACCTATATTTATATATTACTAGCCGTCCCCTGCCACGCGTTGCTGTGGCCCACATGGGGGATCTGTGTGGGAGGTTTGGCCCAATTCTGTCATTGGTGGGGTTCGGAATGCTCTGTGATTGTAGGTGAACTATAAATCCCAGCAACTACAGCTCCCAAATGTCAAGATTCTATTTTCCCCAAACTCCACCAGTGTTCACATTTGGGCATATTGAGTATTTGTGTAGAGTTTGGTCCAGATCCATCATTGTTTGAGTCCACAGTGATCTCTGGATGTAGGTGAACTACAACTCCAAAACCAAAGGAGACTGCCCACCAAACCCCGTGTGAAAAAGATCTTGGAGTCCTCATGGACAACAAGTTAAACATGAGCCAACAATGTCATGCGGCAGCAAAAAAAAGCCAGTGGGATTTTGGCCTGCATCAATCGGAGCATAGTGTCTAGATCTAGGGAAGTCATGCTCCCCATGCTCTATTCCATCTTGGTTAGACCACACCTGGAATATTGTGTCCAATTCTGGGCACCACAATTGAAGAGAGATATTGACAAGCTGGAATGTGTCCAGAGGAGGGCGACTAAAATGATCAAGGGTCTGGAGAACAAGCCCTATGAGGAGCGGCTTAAGGAGCTGGGCATGTTTAGCCTGAAGAAGAGAAGGCTGAGATGAGACATGATAGCCATGTATAAATATGTGAGAGGAAGCCACAGGGAGGAGGGAGCAAGCTTGTTTTCTGCTTCCTGGAGACTAGGACAAGGAACAATGGCTTCAAACTACAAGAAAGGAGATTCCATCTGAACATGAGGAAGAACTTCTGACTGTGAGAGCCGTTCAGCAGTGGAACTCTCTGCCCCGGAGTGTGGTGGAGGCTCCTTCTTTGGAGGCTTTTAAACAGGCTGGATGGCCATCTGTTGGGGATGCTTTGAATGCAAATTTCCTGCTTCTTGGCAGGGTTGGACTGGATAGCCCATGAGGTCTCTTCCAACTCTATGATTCTATGTTCTTTTTAGAGTTATTCTAGACTACAACTATCATCCCCTACCAGATAGATTGTTATTACCGAACTTGGCAGGCCTTTTAGAGTCATTGGACTACAACAATCATCATCCTCAGCACTGCTAGATCACTCCCTAAGCTTTGGCAGGCTTTGGGCAGCAGCTCCCTTTTCTGGGAATGATAGTTGTTGTAGTCCAAAGGTCTCCATTTGCTCTCAGCTTTCAGATTGTTTTTTTTTTTTTGTGGTTTCTTCTTCTTGGCGATCGAGTTGCATTGGAGGCGTTCACAGGAAGTGGAAGCGTATGACTTTGTTCCCTATTTGTTAGATTTGGAAGAGCGATACCTATGGTTTCCCTTTTAACACACTCATCTTGGTGACAGTTTGGCAGTCTCTTTGCATTCGTAGCTCTTTATAGATTTAATCCTTCCAGGCATTTCTTTATGGGCCTTCCAAGTATCTGCCCAATGTAGGAAACAACATACCTATCTATCTAATCTATCTATCTATCTATCTATCTATCTATCTATCTATCTATCTATCTATCTAAGAATGCTCTGTGCATAATGAGTCCCTTAAAAACAAAAGAACCAATGAACGAAATCACACCAAATTTGGCAACAAAAAGTCTCACAACACAAGGAGTGACCATCACTCAAAACATTATGATTTTGTCATTTGCGAGTTGTAATTGCTGGGATTTATAGTTCACCTACAATCAAAGAGCATTCTGAACTCCACCAATGATGGAATTGAACCAAACTTGGCACACAGACCTCCCATGACCAACAGAAAATACTGGAAGGATTTGGTGGGCATTGGCCTTGAGTTTGGGAGTTGTAGTTCACCTACATCCAAAGAGCACTGTGGACTCAAAAAATGATGGATCTGGACCAAACTTGGCACGAATATTCCATATGCCTAAATATGAAAATAGATGGAGTTTGGAAGAAATAGACCTTGACATTTGAGAGTTGTAGTCACTGAGATTTATAGTTCAACTACAATCAAAGAGCATTCTGAACCCCACGAATGACAGAATCGGGGCAAACTTCCCACACAGAGACCCCCATGACCAACAGAAAATACTTAAGGCCATCCAATCCAACTCCCTTCATCAGGCCAAGAAAATGTAATCAAAGTCCTCATGACAGAGCCATCCAACCATAGATATAGATAGGTAGGTAGGTAGATAGACAGATAGATCAATAGATCGATTGATAGGGAGTTGTAGTTGCTGGGATTTATAGTTCACCTGCAATCAAATAGCATGATAGAATTGAACCAACCGGGGCATACAGGGCTCCCATGACCAAGAGAAAACACTAGAAGGGTTTGGTGAACATTGACCTTGAGTTTGGGAGTTGTAGTTCACCTACATCCAGAGACTACCATGGACTCAAACAATGATGGATCTGGACCAAACTTGGCTCAAAAATTCCATGTGCCCAAATATGAACACAGATGGAGTTTGGGGGAAATAGACCTTGACATTTGGGAGTTGTAGTTACTGGGATTTATAGTTGACCTATAATCAAAGAGTGTTCTGAACTCCACCAACGACAGAATGGGGCCAAACTTCCCACACAGAACCCCCATGACCAAGGGAAAATACTCAAGGCCATCCCGTCCAACTCCCTTCACCAGGGCATGAAAACATAATCAAAGCCCTCCTGACGAAGAACCATCCAGCCATAGATATAGATAGATATGATTCACACACAAACATAGTATCATAGATTTGAAAGGGACCCCTCAAGAAGGACAATGATATGCTGCATGTTCCAGAGTAGGCAAACCAGACACTCTACACTTCAACACTGACAAAGAAACAGCAAGAAATACTGTTTACCCACAAGCATAAAAACATTACATATATTAGAAACCAACACTTCCTCATTACTTTATTTTCCAGATCAACAGACTGGGCCAATGCGTGACAGGGGACAGCTAGTTGTTTTAATAATACTACAAACTCCTTAAAAAACCTGAGGATTTTTGCATTATTTAAAAATGTTTTTTAAATTAATTTTTCACAACAAATAAAGAAAAAGGAGAAGCATCAAGGGCACAGAAATCGGAAAGAAAGCCAAAAGGGCCGAAACAACAGCGGACCCCATAACAACCCACCCCTGCTTTATTTTGTGCAGAAAATTATTTTAAAATGCTATTTAAATCAGTGTTTCTCAACCTGGGGGTCGGGACCCTGGGGGAGGGATTGCGAGGGGGTGTCAGAGGGGTCTCCAAAGACCATCAGAAAACACAGTATTTTCTGGGGGTTCTGTGTGGGAAGTTTGGCCCAATTCTATCGTTTGTGGGGTTCAGAATGCTCTTTAATTGTAGGTGAACTATACATCCCAGCAACTACAACTCCCAAATGTCAAGCTCTATTTTTCCCAAACTCCACACCTGGGCAGATAGTTTGGTCCAGATCCATCATTGTTTGAGTCCACAGTGCTCTCTGGATGTAGGTGAACTACAACTCCCAAACTCAAGCTCAATGCCCACCAACCCCTTCCAGTATTTTGTGTTGGTCATGGCAGTTCTGTGTGGCAAGTTTGGTTCAATTCCATCGTTGGTGGAGTTCAGAATCCTCTTTGATTGTAGGTGAACTATAAAACCCAGCACCTACAACTCACAAATGACAAAATCAATTCCCCCCAACCCCACCAGTATTCAAATTTGAGCGTATCAGGTATTTGTGCCAAATTTGGTCCAGTGAATGAAAATACATCCTGCATCTCAGATATTTACGTTATGAATCACAACAGTAGCAAAATTACAGTTATGAAGTAGCAATGAAAATAATGTGATGGTTGGGGGTCACCACAACATGAGGAACTGTATTAAGGGGTCATGGCATCAGGAAGGTTGAGAAACACCGATTTAAATAATAATAATAATAATAATACTTTATTTATACCCTGCCACCATCTCCCCAAGGGACTCGGAGCGGCTTACATGAAGCGAAGCCCAACAACACATCACAACAGAAAAGCAATAACAACAATACAAAGCAATGCAAAAGGTTTTCTAGATAAATTTTCAGATTTCGATAATTATGTCAAAAATACATCGTATGATTTTGCATAGGATTTGCACCGCATTAGAACAGTAGAGACAGTTACCACTTAAGTAAACGAAAGTTGAATATTGAATAACAAAAAAATAAGGTGGAAACACTAAACTAAAATATTATATTAAAATATTATATAATACCATAAGGTGTAAACACTAAACTAAAATAC